TGAGCTTATGAAGAATGTTTGTAAAGTATTGTACGTAGTTGATATCAGAGAAACACACTTCTTTCTTCCTTAACGTCACCGAAATTGTAAGAAACAATAAAACAGCCTAAAATTTATCTAGAAAATGATAGCCAAGATCTTTTCAATTCGGCTTAGTTATGAAATTTTTGTTGTAGACAATGCTCCAAATCTCGAAAGTATCATCAACGCTTCTGTCAAGTCACTTAAGAGTGGTAACGTGATTGCTATTCCAACTGATACCATCTATGGGGTAGCAGCCTTGGCGCAGTCCACTGAAGCAGTCACTAAGTTGTATGAAATCAAGAGGCGACATGAAGAGAAGCCAGTTGCAATATGTGTTGGGAACTTGGAAGATGTATATAAGTAAGATCTACTGATGGACTATCTGTCATTTCCTATGACCCTGAGCTGCTAAAATGATGCCTTTGATTACAGAGTGCTTTAAAAAAGTTAATCTAAGCACAGCCATCCCTAAAAAAATTCAGGAGTTTCAGCACATTGTATAGGGGACCAGTAGATTTGTCCTGTGGGTAGGAATTAAACAATTGGATGATTCAAGGAAGTTGATATTTTCTGAGGGCAGCAAAGGGTTTAAGCCCAAAATTAATGCATGATGCATGGATTTTATGAAAAGGCAAAGAAAAGTGAGATTTAAGGTTTCCCCTTTTAAATTTGTGCTGTGGAAGTACTGTTTAAAGCACATGGAATCAGGATCCCTCTTACAATAATTGATTGATTGAGTGACTGATTGTTTCATTAATTGATTAATTGTTTGACAGGGTTTGTAAAGATCATGGGGAGCTCCAGAAGTTCTAAGATATCACTTTTCACTAAATCTAAATCAGTGAAATCATGCCAGATAACTGAAAATTATTTGTCTTTTAAAGAACAAAGCAGTTAATGCTGTGACTGTATGACTGCATCTGCATGATTTTAAAAGCAACCTCTGAATCAGAGGTGGTGGAAAACAACAACCATGTTCCAGAAAAATTCACAGAATTTGACAACCAAAGAAAAATGGAAGCTTTTTTTCTTATACTTATTGATTGAACTACTTGTTGATTGCCCACAGTCTTTTTTATATACAATGCAGGTCATTATTTCAGATGCAGTCTTACTCTTCTTGTCAACACTTGTTTATTGTTTACTGGCAAGATAAAAAAGGTTGCTAAAGTAATTTTGCAGCTGGGAAACCAGGGATTTTTATGTTTACATGAGGTTAAGTTGATCTGGTTTAGCCCCAGCCACAGGAAATGTTTTTTATGAATGCACTTTATTTGACAGACACTAACTACAAAAATTGTTTTTAGCAAAAATACCTATTTCCCTCTATAGCAAGCTCAGTTACCAAATATCCAGGGGTCTTTCTAGAAGAATTCAATGATCTTTCTAGTAGAGGTGAATTCCTTAGTTACAGAATGTTAACATGGCTGTCCTCAAGGATTGCTGTATACAGGCTGTGACTAAAAGATCTCAGATAGCTGATCAGCATTGCATCTGAAATCCTTGCTTTCTGTAGCTGAATTTTGTTATTCCCATTATCACATAGCAGTTTACTTCATTTCTTTTGGATTTTTAGATGGGGAAAAGTGACTGTGAGTAAAGAAATTCTTCAAGACTTGCTTCCTGGGCCTGTGACATTAGTATTTGAAAGGACTGATCAATTAAATCCTGGTTTAAATCCAACAACAAGACTTGTTGGAATCAGAATTCCTGATCATGATTTTGTGCGACAATTGAGTTTAGCATGTGAAGAACCACTTGCTTTGACCAGCGCAAATGTGAGCACTGTGGGACAAAGCAGTTTGAAAATTGAGGTATGGTAATTCCATGCACAGGGCTTGCCCAAGAAGTTAAAAATGTGATAAGTGCTAATCCAGGTTTTACCACTTGAAAAATGTTATGGCCATACAAGTAACCCAAGAAAAAGGATAATTGGTATTTGGGCAACTCAGCCCAACCAATGTAAAGTTGGCTGGGCTGGGAAAGAAAATCAGTAAAAGCTACAATCAGAATTAGTAGTTTGATAATTTTATCATTCATATGTTTCCTTGTATAGAAAACCAATAACCCTCTCACTCCCAGAAATCATTAGTGATTATCCTTACTGTCTGTCATACAACTGTCATGTTGCTAGTTCAGGGAATTTGGTATTGGATCAACTAATAATCCCTATCAGGACAATTTTTTTTTAAAATCTAATTTCTTGTCTTCTTGATATTGTATGGTTGTTTTAAGGACAAATTCTGTCTTGGTCACTCTTGGGAGTACTTAATTTTTGATACCTGTTTGTTTCAGGAATTTAAAGAAATTTGGCCAAAACTAGATTTAATTCTTGATGGTGGAGTGTTAGGATTGACTGAGCAGTGTCGCAAAGGTTCAACTGTTGTTAATTTGTCAGTTCATGGCAAGTTTTCTATCATCAGAGAAGGCAGGTAATGGAACAGAAACTTGAATCTCTGATTACTGCTTTGCTGGTGACAGTCATGCTTTAAATATCTATTGCAACTGTGTTTCCCTGATTTCAACATATCAGTAAACTAATTTAATTTGAGTGTACAGAGCTACCATGCAAGCTATTGTCAAGGGTAAAATCACACGTGACTACATCATGAGACAAACGAAAAACTTAGCTTTTATTGTTATTCACCACGATGAATAACCACAACCTTTTCCACGAAATTATTGTCAAGGGGTTGCGAAATAACAACCATTTTATCCTTAACCCGTTACACCCTAACATCAGTATGCATATTCTCCATACTGTGCTCTATATATTTCCTAATGTGCTGACAAGGAGAATTTGTTTGGCAATCAAGAGCTTCTTTAGTTGGTGGTCATTTTGTTTATTCTTGTGACCTTCATGTTTGATTCAGGGGTGATATTCTAGGGAGAAATAAGACACTAGTCACTCTAAGAGGTAAAAAAGTTAATGAAAAGTTCATTTTACTATCTATTGGACATTTTAACCTTAGAGAGCTATTTTTGTTTCTTTCTAGTGCCTATGATCAAACAGTGAACATTCTCAGCAGAAAATATGGTTTAGAGGATTGCACTAGCTGACAATATACTGCAGCAGTATTCACACCTTTTTTACTTGAACAAATAAGAAACATCACAATCACTCATGAGATCTAATTAATGATTCTTTGCTCTGTTTGCTATAAACTTATTGTAAGTTGAGCTCTGAGAATTTGGTGTCTGTCAAGCTATAACCCCCAATACCTTTCTGCTTGAAGGGATATCAACATTACAGGGAGAAATTTCCCTTTGATCATTCCTGAGAGATTTACTGGTACTTCATTTCAATTTTAGTCGTTGTAGCCATTGTTGTTGTATTTTGTGAATTATATAGGAACTGTCTTGAAACTGAGTAAATCTGAGGATAATATTTTTGTTGGGGCAAAAATAAACCAAAGAGAAGCAAGATGTTAAGGAATGGAAACAATTAACAAAGACACTAAGCAATAAACAAGAAAAATTTGAACTAAATATTTCTTTGAGAAATAAATTGTAAAATAGGTCCTTTTACCATGTACACACCAGTCTGTACTCAATTTGGTACTATGTAAAGACAAGAATGTGTCAGCAATTTGCACTCTTAAATTTGTGATATGCCAACAGCTTTTAAGTGATAGTGTTATTCCATCAAGAAACTTTGACTGGAGGAGTTGCATGGTCTTCAGTGATGAAGTAAAATTGGATGGATAACATATGTTAATTTGCCAGTCATTTGTTGTGAGACTTTTTACATATGTACAGCAATTTAATTGCACCATATGTAAGCTGCAAGGTTTACATGACAGTATCATTTTCCTTTAATGATAATATAGGAGTATTGGTAAAAAATTTCCTTATCATTGTAGAAGTATTTGTGTCATTTGATGCATTTATTGTGTTGTAGGTAGTAATGTTTGAGCTATTTCATGTATGCATAATTAAATATCATGATCCTAGGGGTACATAACACTTGGACGTAAAACTTAAACCATGTTTGGCTCAGAACATCTGAATATGAATAATTTGACAACTTTATTTGTGTACCAATGAAACAACTGTCAACAGTTTAACATTGACATGGTTCTGTTGCTGCTTGTGTACTGATAAAAGTTGATCATTTGTGGATGTTGTATTTATGGGAACAACTATGGATGTAAAGTATTTTCTGCGGGTACATTTCTTTCTTCTTTTCTACATCTTAAGACCAATTTTTTTTATGAGATGGGTTATGCCTTTCAAATGGAATTGAAATGTTTGCTGCTAGAGCCAGAGATTTGAGGTGGATAGTTGTGAAAATATGAATTTTGAAGTGATATTTGAGGTATCTAGTCATTTTGTACTCAGTTGTTTCATACCCAAGTTTGAGTTTGTTCGTATCCAAGCTGCTGATTGATTCATATATTTATTCAAAACACCATACGCACAATTCAGTAGAGGTAAGTGAGTAAGATGCAAACAAAAAATATGTTATGTATACATGTGATCTTGACAAATTTAAAAATTACGGCATAAAAGGAGTGTGATATTTTAAAAAAAAAAGTCCATTGTTTACACTAGTGACTTTTTTTTGAAAATAACAGCTTGTGTAAGTGTGATGTTTTGTTCTCCAATTGTCAACATGGAAAAAATACTTTATTAGTTTGGGTACGAAACAACCAAGCTGGGTACAAATTGACTGGGTATGAAATTACCATGGGTATGAAACAGCTGGCAACCATATTTCTTATCGTAAAGAGTCGAAGTGAAGCTGCATGGACCATCACCCATATGACCTCTCACCCTGTTTAGCCTGTAAGCAGGCTCTCTTGTTTGATTTTCACCTTGCAGAACAGCCTCTCACTATCAACAGCTACTTATGGAAAACTTTATTGAAACCCCTGGCTGAATAGGAAATTTCTCCATAATCCTATTGAAAATGACTGATCTTTGAAAGAAGAGAACGAATACTGAGCCCAATGTCACACATAAAGTGAATGATTTATTTACTAAGTGCTTTTTCACACAGCATAATTTAATTTAAAGATACCCAGTAAACCTTCCTTACAAGAGTTACTGCATAAATTCTACAACACTTAAAATTTGTGATAACTTAGGAAAACAAACATTTCATAGGAAGTGTTACGATATAAACAGCATCTTTGTTAAACCTTTCTGTTATACCACACTTCTCATATGCTTTAAACACAAATTCATGTGCAATAAATAACATATTAAACAATATTTTGTAAAACTTTCAATTTCGATTTCTATTTCAAGCATAGAACTTGCAAAAACAGTGCAATATATTTTGATTATTTAGTTCAACAAGATGTCATTCAACTCCATCATCCCTCCCTGCCAAAAGGGGAGAAAAACTACCTTATTCCAAGGATTGCATTACACTGATCTAAGTTTGACCTCTAGGTAAAGAGTTTTAACTTATTTTTTCAAAGGGCAGCAAACTATTCTAATCTTTCTTGACATCTGAGGGAGCTTCAGTACTGTTTCAAAATAAAAATATCCTCTAAAAGGTTATGACAGAATATACTATCAAGCCTTAAATAAGCAAGACAGGCTGGAGACAAGAATGAGTTACAAAAATACAACTATATAGGAGACTTAAATACAACAGCCAAATAGATGCATTAGGCGATTGCCTTAATTATCAACTTTCCAGAAAACCAGAACAGCAAGAAGTACCATTTACTTTGCAGTCAACACTTAAAGATAACTTTAAAGTAAAAATATTAATCCTGGAAACCTTGAGAGAGACAAAAACCAATGACTTGCATGCTTACAAGATGACAAGCAGTATACTTAGCCTTTCTCTCATCCTGTATTCTGAAAAAAGTTGCAAGGTTACATCAAGACAAAAAAGAGACAAAGAGTGAAGCAATGTTGGTCCAGGACTTGAGATAAGTTAATTCCACCAGTCCATTAAAACAAAACTCTGATTTTCTGAAATGGTTTCCCTATCTTGAAAGAGGTTACAGTGCTACAGAGAACATGAGGAAACAAAAGGAGATCCTGGTCCAAGTCTGGGTGTATCAATTCCATCTAATTAATCCATAGGATCTCATGAATGAAAGTCTATTTCCTGACATGGCTGCACTAAAAATCTTTCTGATCTGATGATATTAGTGAAAACAATTTAATGCAAGACAGCTTGGAGATAAATTGATGAGGAAAATAACCTGAAAAAGAGATGTGTTACTTAACCCTTTAACTCTCAGAATTGATCAACATGTAACTTCTCCCTATAATATCCATTCATTATCCAGCAAACAGGTAATGAGAATGCTCAAATTTATCAGGTGTAAGTTATTTTCTGAACCTAATAACAAATCCTTGTAACTAATTCACAAGTAAATGTGTGGAAGAAAATGGGGAGAATTAATGATTAGATCAATTGAGTTAAGGGGTTCAGTGAGAATTGACAATGCATACATCTACATGTAGGGTGTAGGGAGAAGGAACAAACTTCCCTTTCAGTTAAAATGAAAAAGAAAACAACTACTTTCATAATGATCCCTCTCTATCCCATGATTTTTTGTTGATTGCATTCAGTTTGAGAGAGTTCCCCTTCCCTTTGACAAAATCCTTCGTTTACAAGTCCTTGGGAGGTAAGTCATTCTCCACATCGGTGGGGCAAGGGACGAAAAATCTCCACCATTGACTTTTTTTGTTCTGGATCAACTGCATAAAACGATACTTCTTTCGCTTGAAAATGCTGACATACCAAATTCGAAGAAGCTCTTGAAATGAAGAGGCCTTGGAGAGTGAGTCGTAGAAATCGACTATCGACATGTCTGCGAGGAGAAGGAACGACTGGAAGAAAAATAATGCTCCAAGGAATACGGTGATTGCAACTGTGGGGGCAAACAAGACGGCGTAATCCTGAATTTCTTCACAGCCTTCGCCAACTTCCATACTGTTAAAAGTATCCCACATCGATTTCGCTGATTGAGAACGAGGTGAATAGCGATTGAGGACACTCAAGTGAGGCATGCTAAGCAGAGTCTCTTTGAATTTCTTCAGAGCATATCCAGAGAGACAATTCGAAAACGGAAAGTAGGCAAGGTAACTTGCATACGACAAACCAAAGAACGCATATGCCAAGAACGTGTAATAGTAGATGTAATTCCGGCGGCCGATGCAGTTGTTAGTGAAAGGACAATGGTGACACATCATCTCGACGCAAGTGTGACACCAGCTGCAGTGATGAGTTCCAGCATTTCGAACCCGTCGACACTTGACACAAATTTGGTAGCTTTTCACGAAACATCTGTCTCGAGTGTAGGCGTCCTGGTGTTGAGGATACCCCGGGCAAACGAAGACAGTCATGTAGTAATAGAAAACAGCGTTAGTCATCATGTAACATGTGAAAAAGGTGTGCCACCACCCTAGCAACGAGGAGAATGCGTCCCCGGGAACGTGAGCGTGGACGTAAATTGAGAAGAACAGCCACATAAGAGTTGGAAAAATAAAGCTTATGGGCACAATCTGCAGGTAGCTGATCGTAGCTTGCGAGGGTAATAATGTCTTAAGTTTTGGAAACAGCCTTGGAAGGATCTGGAAGATGAAAGCGCCTACAACAACGACAGCCATACTGGCGCTCAGTGCAATCACAACGAACGCCATGTTGATCTCTAAACGAAGACGTTAACCAGGAAATAAACTCGTTCCCAGTTTCACTCGCGTGATCTTGGCCAAGATGGCATTTGTTTGGATTATGATCTTGTCTGTTGGACTTATTCAGGGCGTTTTTATCATCAGCAGTTTACAAACTCTATTCCCTCGTGGATCAAGAAAAACTTGGCTGTATAGGCTTCTAAAAGGATTGCAGATTACACCTGTTCTTTTTATATTTGCTTCTGCAATTTGGTTCTTCTTCTTAAAGAGTTTGCCCATAGAAGTTGATAACCCCTACTCGTCTTTCAAAGGTGTGGGCTACATCGTCATCGCTTGCTATCTTTGGCTTAATATGGTATTCAATTACTTGGCGGCGATGATTGTTTCACCAGGCTATCCAGAAACACGACAAGAGCTCGAAGAAGACACAGATATCCATCTGGAATCGTTAAAGTTTTGTACAAAGTGTACTCGTGTGCGTGACAAAGGGACTCATCACTGTAGTTCATGCAACTCTTGTGTGATGTCTATGTCGCATCATTGTCCGTTTACTAATAACTGCGTTGGACTGAATAACTACGCTCACTTTTACCTGTTCCTGGTGTACTGTTTCTTAGGGCTTTTGTTCGCTGCGTACTCTACTTATACGCCGTTTGTGGTTTGCATGCTAGATTACCCTTCTGATTCACCTTCCTACAAAGTTGGAATTTGCGGTGAACTGGGAGACTATGCCGTAATGTTCCTTGTTGTGAGCTTCCTCTTTACCTTTATCTTGATGATGTGTTGCTTTCACACTTTTCTTCTCATTGTAGACATGTCCATGATCGACTTTTTAAAGACCTGTCAAAATTTAACTTGTAAAGAATGGTTTACGAACATTTTATTAGAGAGGTGCTTGCAAAGAAAGAAATTGTTGTTTCGTAAACTTCTACTATATCGTAGAGAGAATTTGTGGAAGTTTTTGATACCAGGTTTTAACGAAATACCTGAACTTCTTCCACCTGATGATTTCCTAGTTTAAATTAAATGTTCTCAGAAGCTTTGCTTGATATGGTTTTAGAATAGAAGACTAATTTTATAGTCTGGAAAACAGCTTTTGTAATCCAGATGATTATTTATTGTTAATTCTTTTAGATGAATCTAATGATTGATGACCTCTCAGGTTGTAGAAGTATCCATCATTATTGCTAGCAACAATCCTTTTAGGGACTACAGTACTCCTACCTTGACAATCAGACTACTTAGCTTACCAATTATTTATTGTCATTTTGGGTATTTACAAAGAAGTAATAAGATCATGAAATGTTAATAAGAAGCCTGAAGATAGCATTATGCCTCTGTTTATTTGTTTTGAAGAAAATATTTAATTGTCACTTTTGAAATATCCATACATTCTAGATCATCTTGTAGACCTTCTTTATTTCGAACCAACATAATGACTAGCTCTGAGTTGGCTTGTTAGCTCAGTTGGTAGAGCACTGCAGTGGTATTTCAGAGGTTATAGGTTCAAATCCCTTAAAGGCATGAACTTTAAAGTTAAGGCCTTATTTTCACTATTGCTTAAGTAGTGTTCATCACTGTGAATATCCTTTTCATAGTAAAATTTTTTTTTTGTAGTGTATAAAAGGAAAGGTTATAGCTTGCAGCTTACATCTAGAAGTGGTAATAGGTATAATAATTCTTTCTTTGGAGAAATATGGTTTTCATTTGGTTTTCATTAAAATGCCACACTAAAAATGGTACAGGAAATATTTCTGCTCAAATAGATCTTAGTGTTTTTCAGTATTATTTTAAAAAAAACATATGTAAGAAAAAATCCAGAAATAACTTTGATTTATGAAATCTTAAATCTAAACTTAAAAAAAGGGAGAAGAAAAGAATGAACAGGAAGCCCAACCAGGCTCTCCATTTGAAGTAGGCTAAAAAACGACATTAACCACAGCTTTTTTGCTTTTTTTGGTTGTCTTAATCCTTTTTTTTTTCTTTTTTTCGATGAGACAGGCATGAGTTCTCACAATTTTTTGTTTGTTTCTTTCTGTGGCTCTTTGGATCCCTATGTGTGGAAATTCACTTACGAGGAAAACTGCTATTGTGAAAAAAAAAACAAACAAACAAACAAAGAGTAAAACTGAAAAAGAAACCCTAGAAGAGAAAAGCGATAAAGTATTACTTACAAATCCATAGGCGACAGCCTCGGTTGGAAACAAGACAGTTACTATCTATGGGAGGGTGGGGAGGAATTCTTGCTCGCTACCCCTGCCAGAAGTAAGCGTCCACCCCTTACAGTGACAGCACGTTTTCCTCAAGCAAGCGTGCTATTAACTGTTAGCCGACGCTGCTGTGAAATATAACGTTTTTGTGTCTAGACTTTCTATGCAGTTCATCTGAACCCTGTTTGTAACTTTTTTAATCGATAAGATGGAGCCTCAAATGCTCGTTAACCAAGGACTCAGCGAGAGCGTTGCTCAACGTGTTTCTGAAATCTTTGCTTTGGGGATTCTTTCTCCTGAAGAACTCGATGACAGAGCGTTCGAAGCTCTTCGCGAATTCAATCAAGACGGCGCTTTGGAAGTATTAGATCAATTTGCGAACAGTGACTTATCTCATGTGCAAAATAAGAGCGCTTTCCTTTGCGGAGTGATGAAAACCTACGTCACAAAGTCTTCTACGACAGGCGCTGATACCTCTAGCAACCAGGGAGCGCCCAGTAAAGCCGACGAAGGGAAGATAAAAGCTTTATTAGAGAGAACTGGTTATACGTTAGATATCACCTCGGGACAGAGGAAATATGGAGGTCCACCACCTAACTGGGAAGGTCCTGTACCCGGGACAGGTGGTAGTGAAGTAAGTAAAATTATTTTTCTAATACCGAAGGTACCAAGCCTTACTTGGAATTGAAGCACGATGGAAGTCTAACTGTCCATGTCGATGAAATATTTGTAGCTGCATGTATTTGAGATAATTCAATCGGTTTCTAGCAAACATTACCCTCTTGGATTCAATTATTCGCTCGAAAAAATAAAATCATCATCGGTAATTTTTTAAAGATTTGGATAATTTAGAGAGAACATTTTTAGATAAATTATATTAATTTTCAAGTTATAAGCATGCTAGTGGGTTTATTTACACAAATTATTTAATATTTGTGAGTTATGAAAGCTCGGTTGATTTTGAAGACTCACTAAATAAGGAATTATACTGGAACACGCATCCAAGAAAAATACCTAAAAGAGAGGACACAACACATGTAAGGCCATATTATAAGGATAAACCTGTTAAATGAATGGCTGTATGAAATTTCCTTTAATGACATATACAAATGGTTATGAAATCACTAAAGATGGTTGCCTGCAGATCACTGCAGATTTCCTTTATGACAAGATAAAATCAAATCAAACAAATCCAAATAACTCATAATGGAGGGAATTTCTCAGCAAACTTCCTTTTTTGACAAACTCAATCAAACCAAACAAGTTCAAATGACTTACACGAGTGAAGTGAAACTGATTTATTTGCAAAATTATTGTCCTACAGAAAGGCTGCTGTCAAGTTTTTGTTGGGAAGATCCCACGTGACTGCTTTGAAGATGAAGTAATCCCACTCCTCGAAGAATGTGGTCAGATTTTTGACTTCCGTCTCATGATGGAACCTGAATCTGGACTTAATAGAGGCTATGGTTTCTGTACATATGCAACTAAAGCTGGTGCACAGAGTGCAGTCAAGAAACTTGACAATAAGGAAATTCGACCTGGCAAGAAGTTAGGAGTCTGCATTTCAGTGGCAAACAACCGTCTCTTTGTTGGATCCATTCCAAAGAGCAAGACCAAGGAAGAAATTTTGGAGGAATTTGGAAGAGTCACCTCTGATTTGACCGATGTCATCGTTTACTTGTCTTCAGAGCAAAAAGGCAAAAACAGAGGCTTTGCATTCTTAGAGTATGAAAGCCACAAAGCAGCTGCACTGGCAAAGCGACGGCTTCAGAGTGGTAAGGTTTATGTCTGGGGAATGGCTGTGGCCAAGGTTGAGTGGGCTGATCCACAGGAAGAGCCTAATGATGAAGTTATGGCAAAGGTTAGTATATGAAAATAAATTTGGCTACTTAGTAATCAATCAAAGGTAATTTTGTTTTTATATCAGGTGAAAATCCTTTTTTCTATGATCACAAGGAACATTTTATAAAAAAAAAAATTGAAAATCGGTAACTTTCTGTAATGATTCTTAATTTAGATTTTGTCTCATTAGTCCCTGGTTACCAGAAAAAAAATAATTCTGCTAAATTTTAAGCCTGCATATTTCAAGCATTGTTTTAGTGATCTGTGGAGAAGTTGTTCAGTTTTTAGAAGAGCCATTGTCTTTAGGAAGAACAATAAAAAAAAAATCAAAGCAAAGTACTGGTGGTTGAGATGTTTTCTCCATGGCAGAAGAAGATATGATTTCATTTTAACTTAACCATGGTTTAAATTTTTTACTTTTGTAGCTGTTAAAGAGATGAAACATGCCTGACCTCTTAACTCTCTCAATCCCTTGTATAGGTGAAGGTGGTGTATGTCCGAAACCTGTCACCTGTCATCACAGAGGAGAAACTACAAGAAGAGTTTGGCCAGTTTGGAACTGTAGAAAGAGTTAAAAAGCTCAAAGATTATGCCTTTGTTCACTTCACAGAACGTGAGGATGCACTGAATGCGATAAATGCACTAGACCAACAGATGTGGGATGACATTTCTATAAGTGTGTCCCTAGCAAAACCACAACCAGCAAACAGGGACAGTAGGCGAAGAGGAGGCCCTGGAATGGGGCAAGGTCCTCGTGGAAACCAACTAAGAGGTGGAGCACCCAGAGGGCGAGGTCGTGGCCGAGGGGGATATGACCAAGGGTATGATAACAGTGGTGGGTATGGCCAATATGGAGGTTATGATAGTGGAAGCAATTATGACAGCTATTATGACGATGGTAGCTATGGAGGAGGTGGGTATGGTGGTGGTTATGGTGGTGGGTATGGAAATGAAGGATATGGTGGAGGAGGTTACTACAGCCAAGGTGGCTCAAGAGGTGGGCCGAGGGGGTCACGTTCCCGTGGTGGTCCAGGTGGGCCAAGTAGAGGTGGACCTCGTGGTGGCAGTGGCGGTGGTGGCTTTGGTCGTGGAGGCAGGGGTGGACGTGGTGGTCCTCCTAGAGGAAGGGGTGGCAGAGGTGGAGGTGATGGTGGCTATGGTGCGCAGAAGCGTAAGTTTGGTGGTGATGGTGCTTATCAAGGCTCAGCTGGTGGCTACTCAGAACCTAAGAGGCAGTACATTGATTACAACCATCAGTATGGGCAGCAGGACTCCCAACAAGAGTGGGGTGGTGACTACAACTACAGTGACCAGGGCGATCAACAGTGGTACCAAGACTCCTGGTCGCAGCAGCAGGGATGGTGAAGTGATCCTGTATTTGCTGATTGGCAGCCATTCAACTTGTCCAACCAGATTCATGTTGAATTGATCCAATTGTGTCATCATTTTGTTTGGAGCCCAATCATTTCTTTCTCTGATTGGTTTGGATGCTGCATCAAACATAAAGGGAAAAGGCTTTTTCGATGTTACATTCTCTGTATCATTTTGTTTTTTAGCAAAAAAGAAGAAATTCTTTCATAATCTGACTGAGTTCAAAACTTAAGGAATCAACTTTCTTTTTTGATCTTGAGTTACTAGGGTAAAAGAGGAGATTGTGTTGCAAAATCTGTGGTGTTTCATATAAACATTCGTAGTTCTTCCCAAAGTCTATGAGCCTTGTCTAGTTCTGCTTTTCAAATTCAAATTTTTACATTTTAATCTTCATTCTTTTGAACTTAGTAAATAAAACTTCAAGTATTGTTCAAAAATACCGGTAGACTTAGAAATAGACATCTAAAGAAGATCTGCAATCCAATGATTGATCGAGTGGGTTTGTTTAACAATCATATAATCTTGAACTTAAATAAAATTGCTTATTCAAAATTAGCCAGTAAAACCAGCTGGGTATAAATTGTATGTTGTCATTCTGTCTCCAAAATGAAGAAGAAATTCTGTGGGAAATTGCAGTTGTAGTCAAAAGATAGAAATGAACTTTGAAACAAAAATAATATAATGTTGAAATTGCATCAGAAAATTTTATGGGCAAAAACCATGGATAAATTATAACTGAAGTTGAGAAGATCCAAAAGGAATTGTGCTAAAAATTATATGAAAAAAAAATTGTCAAATGGTGACTGGAAATTTCTTATCAAAAACGTGAAAATTTCCAGTTGAGGTACGACGCTGGCAGGCCATTGTGGTAAGTGCAATATTGTGATACTTGTGTTAGTAGCCTAGAGCCAAGTCTGTGTGGCATTTATTGGTGTGACTTAAAAACACTTCAAACTTTGTTGCATTAGTAGGGTGGGGTGGGGAAAGGGGGTCAACAATTTCAACCAGAAAAGGACTACGCAGCATGAGTGAGCCACTTAAGGTTTCTTTTTGGACTTATTTACTCTTGAGGCCTTATCAATCAATGCTACAAGTGAGTGCAGAGGGTGTGATTGATACTGTCAAGTTGTATTTGAAAATTCTAGTGTTCAGGCTCCTCTCTATCTTGGACTGTCCTGTACTAAATACCAAATTTTAAGTTTAAGCATGCCGGGTAAGGCAACTGGAAACGTCAAAAGTGAACCTAGACTCACTCTTACATCAATCCCATCGCCAACGCTTCAGAAGAATAACAGAAAACTTTACCTTCACGGCTTATGCGAATATTTTCGCTCTAGTTTTTAATTGTAGTCATTTTTGATGATCAAGCGAATTCGTATGAAACTATGTCGCGAGTGGGCCTAGAGAAGAAAATGACCTGTTACTTCAGGTTAACTTTAGCCAAATGAAACTCGTGGCAGTATGAGCCGAACATCGTGAACGTTAGTTAGAACAAGAGAAATGATCGTCTCTGATTTCTAGCCAAAAGTAAACATCTAGCTTGAAAAACTGGCGCACGCATCGTAAGGCTGAAATTCGTTATATTGGGAGCAAGTAGCCTGGGACTAATTTCTTGAATAGGAATTGTCCTGATGCGCGCATCGTCCGGTCTCATCAATCAACTGTCTTCTAATGAAAGAGACGTGTGTGCGCGAGGGGGGAGGAGGGGGGGGGAATTAAAGAAAGTTTCGACGCTGCCGCATTTGTTTTCGCGCCAGTTCCTGCAAAACGAACATAGCCTTAGGCTGGAAATTGAGACACTTCAAGTGAAGGTTACTTAGTTAACTACAATTTGTTCCCAAGAGTTTCCCTCATGTCAGAATTGGAGTGTTTCGACCGACTTCGGTGCTGAACGTTAACTGAGATTTTTATGGGAGGTTTGCTACTTAGTTAAGCCTCGTCTCGAGAATTTCTCACTTGAAAATCAGTGATGGACATGCACAGTATCCCTTCACTTCCAAAGAAAAGTACAAGACAGCCCCTCTTTCGAGATACCGATGTAGGGAACTTTTTTTTCTTCAAAGATACAAGCTTTGCTTCTAGTCGAATAAGACTCGTGTAATCTTTATATCTGGTAGAACCGGTGCCAAGGGGGGGCGTTTGTATGGAGCTTTCACTATAGTTGACCACTGGTTGTCCGGTTTTTTTTCTTTTTTCATTGTTGTTTATTTTTATTCGCTTTAGAGACAATTTACTGTGACGGGACTTGACAGAGTTGGACAGGAACGAAGGACCGACTGTTCTCCTCTACGATGCTGTTACCTTTAAGTGACACGTCCTTCTATATCAAAAGAGGGAAGAGAGATTCTAGTAGTCTAACACTCTGGATGCCGGGTGTCACGAATGCCAAAAAACGTTCGATTGTGCAGTGAAAATCCCTCATAACAATCTCTAGCAAAGTAGGAGATCATTTAAGTGTCAGCACAGACAGTTGGCTTCTCACCTGTGCTGGATGAACTTAGCCGGTATCGGTTCCCACCAAAAATGGTATGCGAGGAATATCCCTCGCGTAGTGCAGTGTTAATCACGGGCTACAGTTGGCTGTCATTCGTGTAAATCATATTATGGTATGCGGAAGGCTTTAGGCTGGTTTTCACTCACGATGAAGTCAGAGTCGGAGCCTAAATCAGAAGCGCAGATTGATACGAGCCATGAAAATCAAACCGACAGTAAAGGAAGGAAAATGTCGATGGTGCTTACGACTCCTTGCTCTTGTCAGAGTCGTAAACGGAAAACTCCAGTGAGAGGGCCTGAGAACTGGCAATTTGTTTGATAGGTTTTTCCGCTTTTGCTTTCGACTCCGACAATCTAACTTTTATAAGCGTCGGAGTCATAGTCGGAATCGGAAGAAAATGAAACCGTTCTAATTCTTCGGACTCCGATTTAGTCGAGCTTATGACTCCGATTTCCAGTTTTCACAAGGTCGATTCCGTCGCCAGTAGAAACCAGCCTTAAGGCTTCACAGTAAGCATCATGTCCGACTTGAATCAAAGGGTAGCGCTCAATGAGGTATTAATGATAAATGTTTTTACGGTATTTTACTTTCTTTTGCAGGTAGTTACATTCACGGCGTTTTCAGTATTGAAAGAATCTTTCTTTTTTTTTTTCATCCGTGCGACTCAGTGGATCCGTTTATTTTGTTTGGTAATTTGTGTGCGTACTGATGTCTAATGGCTTGTGAAGTTCTTTCAGTTAATCTTTTTTGTAGCTTTTCTCTGCTTGTCTTTTTGTTTGTTTGTTAACGCGAAATTAGCTTTCTAGAAACATTATCACAGAAAAACAAGAACTTAGTGGGCGGGCCAGACCCCCTTCTCGTGGGAAGATATGGTTTCGGAACCCAAGCCAGGCTCACTTGAAGAGGGCTGGTTTGCACGTTTGGTGCCAGCGTAGCTTAAACCATGTCTGCTCTCGCTTCGGTAGCGATGGAGCGGTGATGGAAGCCAGATCCGGCAGCTAGAATGCGCCGTTGTATTCCCGTAACTATGACGTGTGGCAGAGGAAAGAGCCATCAAACGTTGTTTAAAACAAGGTAGACAACGTAAACTCTACTGAAAGAGGGAGAAATTACGATTTTCACTTATGTGGATAATTGTAGAAAGCAGTCTCGTGGGAAACAAATTTATGAGTCTTTAGAGGTGAAGACCTCTTTAATGTTTTTGAGAAAGGAAATGATATTATTACAAATAAAGGAATTTCCAAAATAAAAAACGTTTTTGTGTCAACTGAATCATCAGAAAGGGCTGGCTAAGCAATGAACTTGGCACAGTGTGGTACTCCTTTAACTTGGGAATGAAACAGAATTGTTGTTCATGTTTAAACGCACCAGTTTGACGGTCGGGTGAGTGGTGAGAAAGAGCACTGTCTTCCTGCTTTTGATGTGACTTGTCAGGTGTGACTTGCGTGACTTGACGTGACTTGTCAGGTGTGACTTGATGTGACTTGTCAGGTGTGACTTGCGTGACTTGATTTGACTTGTCAGGTGTGACTTGATGTGACTTGTTAGGTGTGGGCTTAAGATGAATTCTTAGAAAGTTTGAGTTCTGCATGAAATTCTTTTCTACCCACGCCTGCAACAAAATGTAGACGGTTTCAATGAAAACGACATTTCCAAAAATTCCATTCACCACAAGGACAACGTACATCTAAAAGGGTTCATTTTCCGCTCTTTGATTGTGACATCGTGAAAATTACTGTGTCGGGTGGTGTCAGATAAATTCCTTGGACGATTGATTCCAGAGTTTACATAACAGTGATATGTAGGGAAAACTTCAAAGGATAAAGTGACTGAGTTAATAGGATTATGAAAAAAACTCCTAATACAGGTTTTGTGAAAAGTTGACAGCAGTAAACAATGAAAAGCTTGTATCCAGTTGGTGTTTGGTTCCCTTAGTCGCGCGACTGGTTTTCAGGATTACCGTTACGAGTGCTTGACGACGGTTGATCGACTGTAGGTCCCACTATTTGGGGGTATATAGCAAAAATTGTATAAGTGACGAAATTGATGATCACGAAGCCACAGACAGAAACACCGTATTTGGTGTACTGCTTCCGGTATAGGTGGAAACATTTACCTCGATTGAGGTGATTGTTTTCACTCTTCGCTCCACTGCAACAGAAATCAAACCTGGATTCGGCGTTTTTCACTTCGGCAATAATTCCAAGGAATATTGCACCGATCGGGAGCCAACGTAAAACTGCGACATGGCTAATTTTGTTGAACGTTTTTTGGGCGGAAGTAATCCCTTGAGAATATCCATTGTTAAATACTGTTTTGTATTTTAACCCCTGTATTCGTTTGTATGAAAATCGCTCTAGAGCTCTAACTTGGGTTGTGGACTTCACGTTACTCATTGTTTCAGATTCTAAGTTTATCTATAGAAGAAAACAACTTTTAGTGGGAAATCTAGAAATGGAAAACTCGCGAAAATAACCTCGTTGCAACAAAGTAAGCGGTTAGACAACAAGCGATGCACTGTGGAAGTAAGGTGACGTGTTTTTATTGAGAATTTGACTGAATTTTTACTTCCTAAGAGCGGTCGTAAATATTCCCATAAAAACTCTTATAATTTCGCTGTGACTGGTACTTCGCGAGATGATCATCTCACAGCTGGAGCTTGGGCCTGTGATCACTGTTAAAATTCGAAATGCCCCAGGCTCTGTCTTCGTTTGAACCGACAGCCGAAGTTACAACCGAGTGGATATCGATTGAAGGAACCTGTTCACTCTTGAGGTCCACCCCGCAGATATCATTCAAACACATTCGCAGACCACGTTGTCTGGGCGTCTAAGCATCGAAGATTCTTAACGCTGTGACAGTAATTTTACAAATCGAACTTGCGATGGAATCAACGCAAGAACTATCAGAAGACGCGCAGACACTTGTGGGCCAAGGGTTGAGCCTTCGAGTGGCTCAGCGAGTCAGTGTGATCTTTGCTACGGGTGCGTTGCTTCCCGCCGAACTGGATGACAGAGCTTTAGATGCTTTACGAGAATTCAACGAAGATGGCGCCCTTGAAGTGTTAGAGCAGTTCGGAAACAGCGATCTGTCTCATGTGCAAAACAAGAGTGCTTTCCTCTGTGGAGTAATGAAGACATATCGCGAGAAAAACCGACAGAAGGCTCACGGACAAACACCCGGAAACGAAACCTTGAGTGGCCCTGACGAAGAGAAGATCAAAGCTTTGCTTGACAGCACAGGGTACACTTTGGATATCACTACTGGACAACGGAAATATGGTGGCCCACCGCCAAATTGGGAAGGCTCTCCTCCTGGGACAGGCAGCGAGGTAATTTAATAAATAATTTCAGTCGCGCTTGCCATAATTTAATAGACAATACGGTCTATGGTCGTTTAGCCGGCGTGCTAGTTCGCCGACTTCCTCTTGGTTGACCACTCGGGTCACATTGCCGACGAGTTCTGTCTGCTTCGCCGACTATAAGATCTCTATAGTCAATCGTAGATATTGTTAACGATTAACGGAATTCAGTAATCATTTATAAACTAATCTTTTTCGTCGTGAAGAATTTTCTTTCCACCCTTCAATCGCAAGAAGTTTGTTTGTGATTTTTGGTCTGCCGTTAATAGCTAGATTAAACTGTCGAGCAACGAACTTGGTAGGCAGATGGAAAAACGTATCGGTAAACTGACTCATCACATACTGTTTTTTCAAGTATCTGTTGCATGGTTGCTCAGTTACCCCTAACTCTCTCTCTCTATATATATATATATATATTTTTTTTTTTTGATAAAATGTGGGAACGTACCTTAAAAGACAGATAAAAGAATTCGTGTAAGTTGGCAAACCGATCATAGCACGTTGAAGAATTGACTTTGGTTATCAGAGAGTGGATGCTAGTGAACTAGTACTGAAATTTATTCAGCTTCCTTTTTGTATATATTATTATCTGTAAAATGCACAGGTTAAAATGAGATAAAATTTTTCATTAAGCTTACTAGTAGCCAAAATTGGTATACATTATATAATTAAATATTTGTATATTTTTTCATTGGATCCACAGAAAGTTTGCTGCCAAGTGTTTGTTGGCAAGATCCCCAGAGACTGCTTTGAAGATGAACTTATTCCTGTTTTGGAGGAGTGTGGCAAAATCTATGACTTTAGACTTATGATAGACCCTCTCTCAGGTCAGAACCGAGGCTATGGCTTTTGTACATATTCTTCTAAAGATGAGGCACAAGATGCCACCAAGAGGCTTGACAATAAAGAAATCAGGCCTGGCAGAAGGCTTGGAGTTTGCCTTTCTGTAGCAAACAACCGTTTGTTTGTGGGCTCTATACCTAAGAACAAGAATAAACAGGAGATCCAGGAAGAGTTCAGTCAAGCTACAACAGGACTGACTGAAGTTATTGTGTACATGTCAGCAGAAAACAAGTCCAGAAACAGGGGATTTGCTTTCCTAGAGTATGAATCTCACCAGGCAGCATCTCTTGCTCGGCGAAGACTCTCTAGTGGGAGAGTGAAAGTGTGGGGTAATATTACCCCAACTGTTGACTGGGCAGACCCACAGGAAGAACCTGATGCAGATGTCATGTCCAAGGTTATTATACATTTTCTTAGATTTGAGTCTCTAGGAAATATTTTTCTTTTAAACTAAAGGCACAAGTGCTAGTGTAGCCAGGGTGTGTTGGGTGGAAGAGAGGAAAGGAATTCAAATGCAAAGTGGTCAAGATTTCTCTTTTTCTCTTTGTTGCATATTGTTCAGGCAAGCTTGCTAGATAGGGGTTCCATTGACTCTATAAAAGGCACTGGCACAAGAGTTCCTTTACAAAAAAATTCTGGCATGAGGCACTAATGGAAATTTAAACTTTTGTGCAAAACAAGAAAACTTGGTTGTGCTGTTGAGTGAGAGAATCTTGATGATTGCTATGCAGAAAAGCAATATATTTTTCATTGGTCCAGTTTTGTGTAGTTGTCAGGGGATACAAGTTAGAATAATTTTACATGTAGTCAATCACAGTAAGAAGCCTATGTCTCTGAAGGGGTAAGGCCAAACTGTAACATACTTTTAGGGACCTTTACCTTGAAATTTGTCATCTTAAGAATGGCATCACTGTTTGAGATGATGCAAAAAATTTATATTTCCTTCAGAATGTTGCTTACACTGAGAGTGCAAGTAGAATATGAACTGTTTGTCTCCAAAGGTTGTTGGGTTGAATAATTTCATATTTTTTAAAAGATTCATAATTTTTGCCTGTCAATATTTCTGTTTAATGACATTTTTTATTGCTTTGGGTATTTTGGTTTTTGTCTCCTCCTGTGTAAGTTTTTCCCATTGCTTATTATTTATGTATTCATGTGTAATTAATGATTATGGTTTGCAGGTTAAAGTTGTTTATGTCAGAAATGTGACCCCAAATGTCACTGAAGAGCAGCTGAAGGAAAAGTTTGAAGAATTTGGCACAATTGAGAGAGTTAAGAAACTCAAAGATTATGCCTTTATCCATTTTGTGGAACGTGAAAATGCAATCAGGGCTATAGAAGCAACAAACGATTCTACGATGGATGGAGTAACACTAGAGGTGTCTCTGGCCAAGCCTCAGCCAGCAAACAAGGACAGGAAGCGTGCGGGGCAGTCTGGATATGGTTCCATGAATGCTGGTGCTCGAGGATCCCGTGGAGGTCCACGAGGTGGAGGCCCTCCTGGGCGTGGTCGTGGCCGTGGAGGGTATGGTGGGGGATATGGTGGTGGAGATGGGTATGGTGGATACAGTGATGGATACGAAAGAGGTTATGAAGATTACTATGAAGGTGATGGGTATGGCTATGGTTCCAGTGGAGGTTATGGTGATAGGAGTTACAGTGACAACTATTATGATGATTACTATGGTGGTGGTAGTAGCGGCAGTGGATATGGTGGTTATGGTGGCTATGATCGCTACAGTGAGAATCCAAGAGGTGGTCCTCGTGGGCGCAGTGGCCCACCTTCCCGTGGAGGTCGTGGTGGTTTTCAAGGAAGAGGTGGTGAACGAGGGGGAAGAGGAGGTCCCCGTGGTGGTCCGCCCCGTGGTGGAAGAGGTGGTCCTCCAAGGGGTGGACCCAGAGGTGGAGGAGGTGTCGCCCCTGGTAAAAGGAAGTATGGTGCTGACGCTCAGGCAACAGTTGAGTACCCCGAGACCAAACGCAGATACATGGGTCAGAACCAGTCAGGAGGAGGATGGGGAAGCCAGCCAATCGCTCAACAGCCACTGTACAACGAAGGTGGTTATGGTAACCAAGGATCAAACCAGGAGTGGTATAGCGACAGTAGCTGGCAAGGATGGTAGACCAGCTGGAGATATTTTGGCTTACAACTGATTCTGATTTGGCAACCTATTACACGGCCTTTCTTTGTCTGTTTCGGTTTTTAAGTTTGAAATGAGGGAAATTCAACATTCTGTAAATAGAGCTGTTTGGCTTGTTCTAGACTTGTCTTGTTGATGATTCAGTTTGGAAGCAGTTAAACAATTTGGTCTGTGTGGCACCAATACCTGAGGCATTTTATTTTTACATGTGATTGGACACAGCTCTCTTGAAAGAGTTTTTAGATTCTTTTAGTTCAATAAAAACTATGCTGATTGCTTTTGGATGTAGCAACTTTTAGGTGATATGGAACCACTGTACTGATTATTTCTGCTTTTTAGCATAGTAAAGTTCATTTCTATAAGTTTTTTTTAAGTTAAATGACAGATTGCTTTTGGAAGTTGAAATGGCAATGTCTTTTGCTTATTGAATGTTCATTGTGATTTGGTCATCAGAAGGCAACCATACTGTTTGGGCTTGTAAAGTTGTTTGATTGAAGTCGTTATGAAAAGAATTAAAACTGCTAATAAAACACATGATCTAAAATGGCCTAGCAGGGAAAGGCTGGCTAAAATGTAAGTGTCAAGTTATTGATTGTGCAGAAAAAATTCCCATTGAATTCACCCAAAGTTGATAAAACTGAAAATCCTTTAAATTTCAATCTTGATTGAAAAGCGAGAATTGTACATTTCTTGACATGGGAAGGTGAGTATTGAGACCTGACAGGTCTCTTTATTCTATTTTTGTTTGTTTGTTTGTTTGTAGTAGTTGTTGTTGTTTATCTTGTCACTTTTGTGTTACTTTGATTCATCCTTTTTTTTTTTCTTCTGGGTGGTTCATTAATTTCTTCTAGGTACATTGTCAATTGCCAATTAATGTTGACCATAAGATTCATCCTTTTTTTTTTGGGCTGTAATTTGTTTTAGGAAATTCTTACTCTAAATGCTAATTTTCTGCAACAAATATTCTGGAATACTAATGCAAATGTCACTAAAGGGTGGGAGGACACCTTTGACTCTGGAAAAAACTGCATTGGCTTAAGTCAACCCCAGTGAGCCATGGAAGGGGCTGCAATAGAATGCTCAGTTTTCTTACAGACCTCAGAACTGACTTTGTAATTCCTGTTAGTTATTTTGTTAACTGTGCAGTGAGAAATTATATCCTTTTTTTTTTCTCGGGACCTTGTTTCCATGGATGCCGCATGTGCCTTAATTAAGTACATACTGAAGAAATATTTTTTTGTGCATGCCTCCACATATTGCTCAAAAACTACCATATTGGGTAATTTCACCTTTGCCCCTCACTTTCATAGATCTTTCAACTAAAGCATAAAATGTTGTATGCAATATGTATTATGTGAGGGAAGGAAAATTTTTGTTTATGAGAGATTGTGTTTCCAATGTGTCCCATGTTCCTGTGACTTTGTTTGGAAGGTTCATTGCAGATCATGTTTGAACATTCTGCCACAATATCACTTGTTACAGTTGACTGAGTTGTTCCTAGTCTTTCCATCATCTAACCAAAACATTCAGACGAGCTAATTCTTGGAATTTCTTGTTATTGCCCTATTGTCTGTTCTTATGGAGGAGGATTGAGTTGTGTTTATTAGACAGTTGACCACCCCTTTCAGTTTCCTCTCAAATTTATTTTTTTTTGTATCTTGTGAAATAGGTGGGGGATAGGTTTTCGTGTTTACCGAGTAAGTTTCCAGAGTTTTGCTAGAAAAGATTGTGTTGAATTTTGGGGTGGGGTCAAGGCGATTCCCCCAGCCTATCATTAGCATGTTGTTCCCTTAGTTCCCATGATTTGTTACTGTATTATGCTTGTGTACAAGCATAGTCTTATTGGGAAGCTAACTTTCTAATGAAGGTGGTGCGTTTGAAATGAGGTCCTTGTACCAAGACGTTTGGCTCATAATTATCGACAAGATAGAGGGTATTTACCAAGTAGAGTCGTTATCTTTCGTGCAGTGTATATTAAGTGGTGCGCGGGGCGAAATCGGTGCTTCAGTAGTGTTAAGTTTTGAAGTAGCGCGGATTAATCCGACAGCAAGGTATTGCGAATAGTAGAGAGTCGTGTTTATTAAAAAGTGGGCCAGTTGTCTACGTTAGAAAATGTTGCAATCACACAAGGCTGCAATCGTGTATTATAGATTGGGAGGTCCATTCTTTTTTATACGAACGGGACCACTCAGATACTCCCTACGTTCTCGATTTAACTAACAGGAATTTTTTCCGGTTAGAACTATTTCAAACTTGGCGAAAAGAACTCCACTTTGGAGGTCAAGTTCGTTTTTATTCGCGATGCAAAGTTTTGAGCTTCCCTTCTAAGTGACCGGATAAGGGTGTGGTCTTTATCGGGCGCGGTTGTAAGAGGAGGGTGGAGGCAATGAAGGGGTGATTGTGTAACGTTTTTGCTCTTCTTCATATGCAGGGAGAAGGATCACTCGTGACGCACAGTTTGTTACATTGTCCAAGTGAGTTCCTTGATACTTTCCTGTACTTTCTGCATTAGTGTTTAAAAAGGAAGCTAATAAAGGAGGAAAATACCTGTCAATCTGTTGTGTTTTGTACCGCCTCTACTAAGGAATGAGACTTAAGTAGAAGTCACCTTCGCAACCGCTGGGATGTTATCCAACGCCACCTCCCGTAGAGATGAGCGTTGCGTGACATCGCATTGATGAAAAATAAAAAAGACAGTTTCAAAGGAGAGTGGGTGGAATGAGGGAATGTGAAGCGAGACGCTGTAGGAAGGGACTGGGTTGAGCTATGGAAGAACCTATCGGGGCGGAAACGTTCATAGACATTTTGTCCGAACAAATACGTAGATCTGCGTGAGACATCAGCACTGCTGTGACTCTTAAGTCTCCTATCCTTTAGACATTCTTGACCTAAGAAATATACTCTTCCGTCTTGCACAATGACCATGACACTAATTGAAAGAAGTACTCAGAACTCATCATTATCTCGTTTTGTTTTCGGGCGCGCCATTGCCTTTGTAATTGGTTGGGAAACTTAAAAATAAAGACACGAGAGCTGAAATTTTAATTCGAGAAATTGTATGTGAGGCGATTAGGTAAAGTGTGTATTAATTCCTTTGATCGCCTTTGATTAAATCTTATACGATACGAAACCATTTTCAATTACATTTAGTAACAGGAGGTTACCAAAAGCGTGTTCATGTGTAATATATCGAAGAGCTATGATCATTCAAAGCCCCCGCCTCTGACCCCTACACTGAGAAAAGATTTCTACGCGAGGCTGCACAAGCGGAATCTACTTTACATTATCTCTTTTCGCCTTTATTTTTGTCTTACTTGAGGAATAAAACATGCTCTCGAAAACAGCTGTTCTTGCTAGGCTAATGTTTCCAAAATAACAAAGAAACAGCAAACATGTAAGACAAAGGAAACGTCATTGTGACCCGCCAAGATCGAAAAGGCCTGGGCTAAAAGCTTGCTGCGGCGAAGAGGACTGGGTAACACAAAGACAATCAGAAATGGCGGGTAATTTGTTGTTCGCGGTGGGAAAGAAAATCCAAACATGATGGAATTTGACTTCAGTGTGGCCGATTTGCAAGATCTTTCGGAATGGCCAGATAGTCTAGAATTTGATGAATTCTTCGATCCAAGTGAGGTCCACGAGGAACCATCAGCGAAACGTCGAAGAACCTCTACCGACAAGTCTCCCAAAACACATGCAGTTGGTAGGGTTTGAATTCAATTTTAGCATAGGAGCGTTCCATATGAGCGCTGTCAAACGGGACTGCGAGATTATTGAGATCCCGCCTAACGATTCTCACCTTCGTGAAAATTTGGAAGCATCTATACAATATGGCGGGTCAGCCCGTTTACGGAAATCGCGGTATTAGTAACTGAGATCTTTATCACCGGGCTTAAAATTTCCACCCCACTTACGAGGACGAAACTCGGGCTTCTTCAGCCTGACAACCAGTGAGCGGGGTGATTTTGCCTTCTGTTTACTGTCCACAGGGGAACGCAAAATTTCTGCTCAGTCCCATACTTCATTATGCATACAGTTCTTGGATAAAAAATGGCGAGAACATTATAACTAGATTACCTTTGGGACTACGTGCTTCTTTTTTAGATTATTGGAGGGTTATGCGGAAATCTTTCACAGCGAAAATTTCAACCCTGTTCGTTTGCTAAGATTTCATTGCTTTTACAGTTTTCGTATGAACACAGATGATTTTTAATGGGGAAAGAGTCTCTAAAAGGTGACATCTTAGAACTAAGCGGGAATTTTCACTAACGACAAAAAGCAAATTTCTCTTTTCGGGCTCTTAATTAAAATAATTATACATTACACTTACTATGAAAACTCTGATTGGTCAAGAACATACAGTCAAGATACAATAGCATTTTGAACCCAAGATCTGCAACAGATATTAGGTTTTCATGTTGTGTTCAAAAGCTGCCTAGTTTCCAAGCCCCGTGTCCGTGTAGTGTTCTCAAACTTTTGCAAACTCAGAGAAAAGTGTCTTCTTTTGCAGATCGTTTAAAAAATGTATAATAAAACAATTATTGGATTTGGTTTCTGTGTGATATCATGAGTTATCAAACCTTGTGTCTGTGTCATTTGCGTCAGCCTTTGAGAACTCCTCAGTTAGTATTCTTTTGGGCAAGATTTCTTCACAACCCCATATTTCATTATGTACACAGTTCTTGGATAAAGAAAACAATGGTGAAAAAAATAGCTTGCCTTTGGGACTAGGATTTTGTTTTTGAATAATACAGGGTTATTCAGAGATCTCTCCTTCCTAAGTTTAAAGCCACTATCCTGTTGTGCTTATGGATTGTGTTTTTCCTTTTTTATGATACTCCCAGCTTCTGTGAGTAGAAAACCAGCGGAGTTAAACTGCAATGGTCATATCTCATCAAACAGAATTAAAGAGGCACTCTGCCAAAATGGTTACCTAACTACTGGTGTATTTAGTGCGTGAGTATTTTATCCTATAACCTTTTTTCCTGTTTTAAGGCTAAAAGGGATTGAGTCTGTAAAATATGAGTTTTGGTTGATGTTTGCAAAGTAACACGGATAAAGTGATTTTAAACTGGATGTTAAAAGTAATCCAGGATTGCTAAATGGTTTTGCTCTCTCTGTGAAAACTTAATACTTCATCCCGTCTTCTGATTGGCTGTTGTGATTACTTTGGGTTTGGATTTATACCAGTCAATCTAGAGGCACTCTAAATAGTGAAATTGAAAACTAGAAATTATATAATCATGACTACAAATGTTTCAAATTTGTTTAGCAAAAACTGAAAAAATTTCTGATCACCAGTTTGTGAATTTTTGGCTGGCAAACTATCATTGAAATCTTTTATCAGGGTCATTTTGCATGTGTCCACTGAACAAGGAACCACATCAGTGCAGATAATGTTGTTTTGGTATATACAGGGGCTTTAATACAATGCAGGATTTGAGACTGCCATGGGAGATTTTTTTTCACCAAAATACTACAAAGAAGTGAGCAATACTGCAATAGTGCAAATCTCAATCTTGCCCTTGATAAGTTCCATGTGGACAGATGATAAAGTCTCTCCTTTTTATATTTGAAGAGTTCTGCATCATGAAGATCCTTATCCAGGACTATTCTCAAACCAGATTGTCAAGTTGTTTGGAGCCACATTTGTCTCAGGCAGTGTTCTCCTTCATCAAATGGAAACATTATTCTTTATGCTGAGGTAATTTATCATTTATTTAGATTTGTTGCTTTGAATGACACTGGAGAAAGCTGTACTTCAGAGTTGATACAAGAAAATTTTAATGAGAAGTTTTAATGTTTAATTAGAGTCTCCATTTAGATATATTGTTATTATCACCAATAACTTCAAGGGGTTGGATAAAACATTCAGTGACTTTCTTCTTTAAAAACAAATTATTTATTTCATCAGGATTGTGCTCAGTAAAATAATATGTAATTATTGGAATTTTATTGATAACTACCTTATAAATTTTGGGAAATCAACTGTGGACACACTGAACAGTATGAAAATTGCAAAGAATTTTGTTTTTGCCAAGAACTCTATGCGGAGACATTTTGAGAAAATTGGGTACGGGTACACACTTTACTTGGTGTGCGACAAACCCCCTCATTTCAAAATGCTTTGCTGCTTCTGAATGATGTCAAAATTCCAAAAATTTACTTTCCCACTGAGAATGAATTAAGTTGCACTTTGTCTGTTGGCTACTGAATGTCACAGTACATCACAGATATTGTAGATTGTCTACTGTTATGATTAACAGATTAACACAGAGATATAAATGTTTCTTTTATTGCAACTTTCTAGGCAGCAAGTTTTTCGGTTGGAAAATGATGGAAGCATCACAACTTTATCTGGTAAATGATTCTTTATGGTGGAACAAAGTTTATACTTCCAACTTATTGTTTCAGTTCCTGTGAGTTAGTGCAATAGAAGGAGCTCACTTGCTATTTGGAAACAAGCCTTTTTATTTCCAAAAAATTTCAGGAATAGCAAAATCAGGGTTGCTTTTCAGACAAACCATTTAAATTCAGTTTCTTGCATATAATTTTGTGCAAAATTTACAGATGCATTAGCTTAGTGGTCAGTGTACACCAGACTCTCAGCCAAAAGCCTGACTTTTAGATTTGGTGGAAGTTATTGTGTTATGTTCCTTAAAAGTAACAGGGTTAAGTCAGCACTTAAGGCAAGAAGCTATTGCAGGTGCAGCTTATTGTGGTTTCCACAGCTCAGCATGAAGAAACTTTTTAGGAGATTGTTATGTGGAAAGAAATAAGCTAATTATGTCTTTTTTTTATCAGATGATGTGCACTCCCGCTGTGTTGAGCTTCGAAGACTGTGCAGTGAATTCTGTGCATTCCTGTTGCATTTTGCACACAAGTGAGAGAAATTTTCTGTGCATTTTGGTAGTACACGAATTGTGCGTTGTTTGCGTGACTGGCGCGCTCGTTTTCACGTGTCTCGCACGCTTTTCCCCATGTTTGTTGGCCTTCGAAATAGTCTTTGTTGACTTTGAAAACTTTTTTCCTTTGTAACGGTACACTAGTCTTGTTGTTTTGATTCGAATCGATATAAATACATTTTTGGTTTGTCCACAGGCATCTCCACGCAACCCAAGATTCCGTCCCAGGTAACCCTCTTCTCCGCGAGTGGTTTCTTCTGCCGTCAAAACTTACCAAACAACTGGAAGATTTATCGCTGTTTCTCGGCCGGTTTTCTTCGCTTCCCAGTTCTTTTACTATGATAAACCCAGTGAATTCAATTGGTCCTGTGCGTTTAAAAGCCGGAGGACACTTATTTCATCTCCATCTAGAGCTAAACTGGGCAGCCATTCAAACATTATGTTTGATCTTAACCGAGCAAGGTAGGGTATGTTATTATCCTTCTATGATTAGGGGCCCCGCCGTAAGGCAGGGCTACGAAAAATTAGTCTATAGACTCATTCAATTGTTCTCCTCCACGGAAATCTTTAGTAAAAGGCGAAAGATTTATGCGTGTTGAAGGAAAACCAGAGTTACCTGTAGCAAATGTTAGAAAACCTTTCTAATGTGCTTAGTGATCTTGTCCATGTGGTTAATTTTGTTTCAACATGAAATCACATGACTGATGCGCATGCTTGTTATTGCGTAGTGTTCGCATAATGGAAATAACTGGCTTTACGGCTACTTGTTTCAGTGTTTCGTTCTTACTTGGTAAGCGCTTTTAGCAAGAATTTCCTAGAATTGTTGAAAGTGTTCGTAAATCCTCAGTTTCTTCGCACTCCAAACCACAGGAGGAACATGGCCAATGTAAATTGGTCCTGTATCAGACTAATGCCGTTTATGCTAATTTTCATTATTTTTTCGTTTACGGTTCGTTGGACTGTCACAAAATGCTATTTTAACGATACAAAGGATGCGCTGGGAAATTAACATAAACAGTTAAACATGTAGATTGGCAAACGTTGATTTTTTACTTGAAAAGCATGTCAGCAAGCTTCTGTTATCTTGAGAAACGCTCACGTTTCCTTTTTCGATTTGCCTTGGTAAAATGATATGGTTATCGTTTGGAGAATTGACCTTTCTGTGACTGGTTTAGAGCACGTGTCGGTGTGTTCAAAGTTATGCTCTATTAAATCACTTGGCAAACTTTGAAAACAAGAATAACCAAAATAAAAGGGTTTATGTAGTGTATTTATGCTACAGAACTTAGATCAGGGGTGTACGAGTCACGGGAAGTCTAGACAGCCATGGAATTATTCAATTTAAATTTTTTCAAGTAGGAGAAATCGCGGAAATGTGGGTCGTTTTTCTAACAAAAGTAACACAGAGAATATTGTCACTGAATGACCATTTTAACATCATTTTAGGAAACATCTGCTCTTATATTAAAGTTCACATGGCAACTAGGTGGACAATCAGACATGTTTTGATGCTACTCTGGTTTACAGATTTAACGAATGTAGCCAAAGAAGTTACGATCAGGGATGTAGATAATAGCCGGAAGCCGGGAAAATTACCTGGCTGTGAACGCGATTTTTCCGGCTGTGAAGCACTACTTCTTTCTCCAAAATGTTTTTAAATGTTGTCAGAAGATTGTTATTTATTTATTTCATTTGTTTACACCTTCAAATCTAGGTATAGCGTGCCAAAGGTACGCTAGAGTGAGCCTTCGGCCCAAATACCCGCCTATCATTGCAAGATTCCCGCCTGTTAAAAACTTTAGCTACATCCCTGTACGATTCATAGACCCAACGTTTCGACACTCCTGTCTAGTGCCTTCATCAGGGGTCCGCTCTTATGTTATGCCATGAAAAACGAAGGAGAAAATCGTTAAAAAAGTCATGACAAGTCATGGAATTTCAAGAGTTCGAGTGAATACGAACCTCGCGTAAAAGATCGGTGTTTTTCTGTCATTTGTTCCTTCTAAAAATTTTGCAGATACTTATAAGGAAAGGTATAGGAAGAGAAATTTCGAGGTTGAAGTAATTACAATTCAATGATGAGATTTATGGTCAGTCCCGGCTTTTCCATGTAAGACCTCTTTAAGGAATAACATTAACCTCGCAGAAGTGACTCACACGTAACTTCTCCAATATATTATTCGCAAACAGGCGATGAGAACAGACAAACTTATCAGTTTAAGGTTGATAGAGCGCCAGATTCTCCTGTGTAATTTATAAGGTAATGTAAGCAATTAAATGAGAGAATTACCTATGGAATCAAGGGAGTCAGAGAATGTACTTGATGCTTCGTATTTCTTGTTTATGAACCGCAAGGGAACCATGCCAGTTGTATGTTCACTCATTAACTCCTATGATTAGAGACAGCAGGAGCTAGTGTTGAGCGAGGGGAATTCTTGCACTCTACGAACTTTGAACATAATCTTGAGAATACGTCGAGTCAGAATCTCTATTTTTAATTTATTTCTCCTCTGTTAGGTTAATTCCTACGAGCCTATGAATTTCTCTCTAAGTCATTAAGACTGCAAAATATATTTAGCTAATTTATATTCTCCACTGTTAACTTAATTCCTACGAGCCACTGGATTTTTTCTAGGTCATAAAAACTGTTAAATCAAAAATTATTAGAACTGCTCTTCTTTCTGAAATTTGTTCTCATTCGTTGCACAGTTTTTCTTTCAGTATGCGTTATTTTTGCGTGACAAATGCTGTAAATGTTGCCTGCGTGCTCCCTGAAAGAGTTAGTCAACCGTAAGATATGATTGACAGCCATCTTACTAGGGGCTGAAAATGTGAAATGTGGGAACGAAAACTTTGCGGAACGATAGAACTAAATCAGAAAAGAATTGGACAGGTTCTTTTGCGCACGTTTCTCTCCTATCTGACCGACACTCTATTCAGATAGAAGCAGTGGAAAAGGAGTTCTTCCCAGTGAGGACTGTTGAAGCCACGATGAATCACAAACGTGTCAGCACTGAGGCAGTCGCCGAGTCCAGGAACTTGCCAGATAGTTGCTTCCTTCTTTTGCGAACACGTGTTCCACCACACCTTCTTACTTCGCTCAGGCCAACCCCTTGCAATAACGCTCCAGTGAAGGCACACAATGGCGTTAGTGGGCGGCGCCTCCAAGCCGAGGCCCAAAACGTGACCGAGGCAGAAGTATCCTGGAGGTGGCACTGGTCGCCATACTGCTGCCTCAGTATTGTTATTCTTGGCATCTGACCTCCAGAGTTCTTGGTAAGTGATCGGATGCATTAGGAGACCTTTGTTTCCATTCTCTTTGACAACAAGCACTTTCGCTCCCTGACCTGCTCGACCGTAGCCGCGCTCTGCATAGTGTCCCAGAGGCGAATACCCGATTGGAGCTTGGGGAAGATACACGCTGAGTCGCTTGGACTCCTCACACTCTTGACCTCTGTAAATGAGCGCGAGCTCGTCTTTGTTGAGCTTTTTAATTGACAATGAAGCGTTGAAAGGAGCTGGAATAACCTCGGGTATTAAGGACCAGAAATCTGAGATGTGAGGCGCAGATTTGGAGTCGCTGCTTAAGAACAGGCCCAAGTTTATATATGAATAACTGGGAGCCAGAGACCACAAGCTGGCCATACCGGACTCCTCTCTCCATACGCGACGACCCGGAATTCCTTGATCGACCATAAGCCTGTGTACGATGCACACGTTTCCGACTGAGGGTGGATCGTAACTCGTTGTCGCTAGATGACCCAGCGCAACATAGTTCAGATTTGGAACTTTTGGTTTCCAAAATGCCAACACTCCATTGTGACCAGAACCCGAGCCATTATTTCCATCGCTGGACCCCTCATCGTCGCTATCACCACTGTATCCGCGTCCACTACCAGGTCCTTCGCTACTCCATACTTGGACAAAGCCCTTGGCTTTGGCGAAGAATTTTGTGTGTTTTATTTTGATGCACACCATGACACTGGGATTGGGCTTGCTGATGTCCCCTTCCTGCGCGTAATCTCCAAGCATGCAATACCCGGGAGGACAGTCAGGCCTGTAGATGGTGAGTCCTTGGCCATGGGGGTCGGTATATATCTTGGTTGCTATGGAGATGATCATCATGCCAATCCCTGCAACGGCCATCTTGTCTTAAAACAAAAGCAATGTTGTTAAACGTGAGTGACTTATTCAGGAGTGGGTTTTAGTTTGGCATGTAATCGGTTGAGATGGTGGCGCAAACCGCAGAGGAGTAAAACAGATGCCATTCCTGTATATTGTCGATACTTGTTGAAAATTGCTCCGTGAGAGCGTGTTTGTTTAACAGGTTAAGGTCAGGCATGCATATTCTTAGTGTTTATTTTGTAGCCCATATCACCTAAAAATATCATCGGAATTTCTTGCACTCTGAATGCATGTTTATGCCACACGCGTAGACCTTCGCACTAGATTATATATATGCAATTCAATTCATGGTTTCGCCCCTTTGGGAATTCATCGCAGATATTCGATTTTGTCGAAAAAAAAATTGTCATTCAGTACTCTTCAAGCGCCAAAATTCAATACCTTTTGACATTTTTTTGGTACAAATTCCAAGCCGGAAAAGATATGTAAAAAATGAACCAAGAATTTAGCGTTGTAAAATCCAAAATCATCTATCTTTTCGAGTACATGTTGTTACCTATCTTGTTGGACTTGATTTACGAGTGATTCATTTTGCAAAATGTCTATTAGAATAAAACTAAATTATGTACGAGACTTTTTTATTAGCTGAAAGGGACAGAGATCATATTCCTAGTTAAGCACGGGTGTGCAATCTTACTTAAAAGTGATATACAATCGTTATCCGTGCATTTTTAAATTGTTTTTTTTTTTTAAATCTGGCTGAACTTTAATCTTCATCCTCATTAATTTGATGACGGAGGATCGGGAAAACAGCATTAAAGTGAGTGATAAAAAGATATGGTTTCAAGGAGACCACGTAGTCACCGATAACTGCAGAAGGGCGAGCTTCTAACTGGTATATCTGATTTACGTTTCCTTATGCTATATTAACTACAGCTGGACTGTCATTTGGACGTATCAGCAGTGACTATAGAGACAAGGGTTGTGGGAACGCTGTGTTATTTTTATTTTTTTTTTAACCAAAATTTGATATCGTATCTAACTAAAGCCGCAACCAACTCGAAAAGGATGAAGAATCGCCCAAAGTTTAAAAACCAAGGACCTTTAGTAACTTTTTGTTGCCTTTGTTTTTCTATTTTTTCAGTTTTGAGGCAAGAGCCCTAAATATGAAAGTGTTACCTTATTTTAGAACTGCGTGATTAATTTAGAAACGCTGGACGAAAATGGAAAGTTCAAAGCACTATTAGCGGACCGTCGCAGATTACTTAATATCCGTTCAAGAATGCTCAGTTGTGGATTTTCACAACATATAAGGGAGAGATTTGTTTCACCTTTTCAGCATATAAGATTGAGGCTATGGTATGCGATGTACATAAAGTTGTTAACGTATTTTCAAATATAATAGAATTCTGGCAGGAAGTTAATATTTTCATTGAAAAACATACCATAACGAGATGACAACTTTGCTTTGTACCTCACCTACTATGACAGTCCAGTTTACCCCCGTTTAGGCTGTTATAACAGTGCCACAGTGACCCCTATGCTATTTGCAGTCTCAGTGGGAAGAATTATTTCTCCCTGTTGGATTTCTAGTTACAAGTCAAGTGATGTGGTACACTGAATGTCGCTATTTAACATCAGTTACTTTAAGCTTGGCTGATAGGGGCTGTTAGAGTGAGAAATGTTAAAAATACCTCGGATTTGGTGAATTACAGCGTGGGCCTCTTTAAACATAGTCGCGTCTTTGTTCGTCTAATTATAACCTAGCATGATCACATATTTTTAACGAAAAAGGATTAAACGTCTCATTTTTAGATCTGAAAACAACTCTGCTCCTATCGGCAAAGTAGACATTTTAGTTGTTTCAAAACCCTGGAACACTTTTCGAAGACTTCCACAATGTTGTCATCTCTACGTAATACTCAACTTTTAGAATTGACGTTCTGTTCTGTCTGACACGAAGTTTTTTTATTAAGTTATATAATCGAGTAAACACGCCTTTACCTTTGGTTTACACCGGTCCAGGCGAAATAATTTTTACCATCGACTTGTGACTACTGAAAACTTACCAATAGTCGAAGTGATGTCAACGACGTTCTCTGCCTAAGAAGCGAACCTTTCTATCAGCGGAACTTTGTTCGTGTGCGCTGTTCAGCTCCTTCGACGTGTTTATATCTCCGCCGGGCGGAAATTGGATAGATATCCCATTCAAGATAACCTTAAGACCTATGGCTCGGCAATCGGATACTCTTGACTTGTTAGAAGTATGGGGTTCTTTGTTGGCTAATGAAAGGATGTCCACCTTACGACAAGGGCGTGATCGTGACCATGAGGAACAATTTCGTCCCATTTGGGGCGTTTATTTGTTTTACACCTGGTTGTTATAGTTGTCTTTGCCTGATCCGCAATATCGGAAACCGCGAATTACTTTAACTCGGATTAAAGCACTAGCTTCCTTTTTACGCAAATGAGTAATTGAATTAATGAAAGGATTTGTTGCTTTTTAAAGCATTACGCTTTCTTTGGTTACTGCGTGTTCCCCATTTTGGAAACAGCTCTCCATGTCTGACGCAGTAAAGAATCTTTGTTAACAGTTTATTTTATAGTTTGTTTGTAAAAACGTGTAAAAATAGAAGCACTTTGGAACTTTCGCTAATTGAAGCACAATGTGCGATATTTCGGGTCAATTTACGCCTATTTTATCGCCTTCACCTATTGAGGTTTGATTGCAGTTTGGGACATTGAGTTTTCAGAAAACTCGAGAGTCGTAACACAAGAACTACAAGGCTAATTTTTGTCTTAATACGAAAACAGAAAGTACTTTTGTCGTGGCTCGCGAATTTTTCGATCCTCGGCTCTCTTCCAGCTGATTCAATTTCACCGTGATCGGATCAGGTAATTCGTTCGTCGTGATGGTGAAAGAAGGAAAAACTTAATAACTTGTCGTTGTTTATCACCTTGTGTCTCGTCAGGACTGCTTTTTATTAATTTTTAATTCAGCCCGGTTAAAAAGGCGACTGACCTATCAGTTTCCATTTCATTGCCGTTGTATTCATTAATTACCCTAATGAGGTGTCTGCGTGTTCTTGGTGAAAGGTTGTTTGTGGATCGCACAGAACATTACGTAAATTTTTTACCTGTCTGTCATTTGCTCTGTATTCGAAGGTAGTGGCTTTACAAAACAGGATTTTCAGGATTAGCTTGTAAATTCTGCTTAGGCACATTGAGAAGGAATCCCTCTAGTGATCTCGTTAGAAAAAGATTGTTCACACGAAGCTTACAGATGGAAGAAGTTTCCAGGTTGCCCGTCGCATGGTAGCAGTATTTCAAGGCTTCATTTGTGACAAGCTTAAAATTCTTTCTTTTTGTTTTAACACAGCTATGAAACATCTGCTGACACTGAATGATTTCAAAGAAAACATTTTGATGATGGCTTTCTTACTACAAATCTTCATCAGAAAGTTGCTACCTTGCCAACTTTGCATTTTGTTGAAACATTCCTCTAAGGACGTTTTTTCCAATTATGATTCCTTCGTTTGACAGAAATTAATTAATAAGTTTTAACGCAATACATTAAAATTTCGCTAGGGCGAAATTTGAATGTAATCGTTTTTCCACAAGGATAGATTGGAAATTGAAACTGCCCGTTATAATTCTTAAATCGTAATCGTTAAATTACATTTGTTTCAAATTGTTTTGATTTTTACGGAGGAAAGAGGTAAATATTTTCCATTTCTGTGCAGATAATACCCATGTTTTTCATGAGACGATCTCCACGTGTCTTGAATATCACCAAAAAAGAACAACAACAGTAGAAAGTGGTAAAACCACGCCCTCTAAATTAGCAATGCGGAGGCGGGAAAGCCTTTCACAAAATATCGTATCAGAAAGTTTTCGTATCTGCCATTTCAAGTCCCGTTCTGATGAGGAATTTTAACGAACTCAAATGATTTAACTGAAGCAATAGCTTATGAATTCTTCGACATCGGGCGCCACCTTAAAATGTTGATTTATTTTTGTTATCTTTATTGTTTTATAACAACTTGAAAGAGTGCAATGGACAGAAACTCAAGTTGCTTCACTTCACTTTTTCCCTGATCACTAGGCAAAATTGCGTCTTGTGAGGCACCAAATGTCCTCCACCTCTATAAATTAGGGTCATCTTGTGTAGAGTTCATTTTACTATTCTGTAAACAGTTGACAAATTTCGGTGATATCAAAGTAAACTTCCACCGGCAATGAAATCCGGATGTTTTTGTCTTTAAGTGCTCTTTCCGTTTGCTAGAATTGTTAACACATTGTGCTATCTTATCATGCGTAAGATTTGTTTTGGATTGTTGTACAATTGAGAAGCCATATGTTGGACTATTGCGTAAACGCATTCCTATCGACCTTGGTGTTTCGTGACCTTACATTGTAGATAAGAAAAATTATGAAAAAATTAAATTCGCTCTAACGTTTCCTCTCTCTTGCAAATGATTACAAAATATTTAGGGGTTCTGATACAATTTAAGCTCTATCATCCTAAGAATGATGTGCTTAGTAAATACACGTAATCCTTTAAATCCCAAGATCGGATTAGTTACTTTCCCCTCCCAATCCTTTTACATTTCCTTATAGTGAAATGAAAAGAATTTGTTGTCATATATATAGATACTATCCCAGCTCTCTGTTAGAAGACAAGTTACAAGTCTCAATCACTCCAGGGTGTGAAGGATAAAGCAAGTGATGCCTTTGTACAGTTGCGCAAATACAAACTATTCAGATTGGTTCGGGAGTTTCAAGTTTCAAGTGACTGAGAGAGTATTCTTAGATCTTCGGATACCATGGAAAATAAATTGAACTTCTAAGTTGGAGCATTTTCAAAGTAAAATTTTAAATCGTTATTATAGGCTCTCTCCCAAGTCTTTTATTGTTAAACTACTCAAGACAACCACAAATGATGTTTTATCGGAAAAAAGAAACAACTGCAGTAGCAAAATCACCCCTGCGGACGCCTAATACACCAACTCTTCTTTGTCCATCTCACCAGGAGCACAGGCTCCTTATCACACAAATTAATTTTGTTGTGAAAAGAAAAATAATTTAGAAGTCAATGATATATCATTTAAAGATGATTCCAGGAGATCCTATGGTGTGCGTAAGCTTTGTAGCCCTGATCCTATTTGTAGAATGATTCTGAAATACTTCGTCCTATGTCTACTGTTTTTCCTGTATATGAGCGAACCTTAAAAATTCGTTTTTATCCCGATATTTTACATTAGTATAGCGCCTATGAGCTTAGAGCAGTTTTTATCCGGTAAGAGGTCAATGACGGTAAATAGAGATCATTTCAAATCCTATCGCATCGCTTGAGACACCCTTAGGCTATGGCGAGTGTATTCAGCACAACACAGCCGCGTTTAAGCTTCGTCGCGTGAGTCTTATATCTCCGTCTGCATCCAGGAAGGCAAATAATGTATCGTGAGTGACGAGATAATAGGAATGTGGAATGCCAGGTTTTCAATAACGATATTGATTTATTCTCTGTTCTGTACGGTATTTGTCTGTCAGTGCCCTGTTCCTCAAATTTCTAATGTCGATTCTCCTTTCAATGGCTGGTACTAGCCATTCCATTCATGTAAGTTTGCATAAACTAACCATTTAACTCCTAACCCCTTCCTTTTTCGTCACTAATTAAGGGTTTTTTTTTTTAAGTTTCTTAACTTCATTTTCTATGCTACGAAACAATAAATCCAAATATCTTTTTGTCAGGAGCTTCTTTGTTGTTTGAAGTTAAGGTCACAACAGCAAACTTTATTTAACAGTTAACGCCAACAGAAATTCTCTTTTTTCCTTCAGACAGTGCTTTTTTTTCTCTTCAGCGATTTTCTGCAGACAGGAATGTCTACGGGCACAAACGTTCTGATCCCATTCCGTCCAACTTCCTCGGATGAAGTTGCATGTCTCTGTTTTCCTTTCTGATTTGTTTTTTTTTTAGTCTTGTGTGCTTGTCTGGTATGTTTTTGATTTTTTGTCAAAATATTAGATTTGCACGTCATTTATCAAAAGAAGTTTAGATGCAAATTAATTTAAATGAGAGGGCGGACGGTTGTTGCACTAATGGCGTTGTATTTGCAGACGCCCCATTCTGGTCAGTCTCATCGGCTTATCTTGTAATTCATGTTGATTCTGTCATCAATGCCGCGAACTTTTTCAAAATGTCTAGGCTTTTCTTCTCAGCCATTTAATCAGATGTCTGTTTTTAGGTTCTTAGGAGCAGGCGGCAGGCTGGTCGAGTGGTTTAGGGCGTATGTGTTAAATCTGGAGTTCCTTTGTTCCAATCCTCTACTTTGCCTTTCAAGTGGATCTGTTTCTCGGTCATTTCGAATTCATAGCCTTGAACATAGCCAGTGTTCTAACCTACGACCGTTTTGCGCGCCACTGTTAGTAAGCTCTCAGGGGTTTCAATTAAAGCGGTTACCGGCGGTCTATCACCACTTACAAGACTTCTTACCGCCCTCTGTTTAGGCTGCAAGTAGGCTCTTGTGATGGGTTCCGCCCTACGCCTCCCTTTTTCACACAATCGGTAGCCGCATATGGGCGGCCAAATTTGCAGCGAAAGTCACCAATTTAACGAACTGCGTTGGGCAGTCATGTTGCAAGCTGTAACGTATTAATTTCTTGGTGTTTAAGCTTAAAGTTAAAATGAGATAACCTTTAGCATTCAACATTATCAACACTTTGTCGTTTTTTTCTGAGAATTTTCGACTAACACATTTTGTCCCTTACTTTAAATGCGACATGTGCAATAAATCTTCAAACTGGTGGAGCAATCATTTCTCCTGTTAAATTTTCAGGAATTCCAAGAGGTTTTTAGACGGTGATAAGAGGTACAACTGACGGTAGATAGTACCGGTTACCGCCTGAAAAGTAGAGCACTACTAAGATATTATTTCTGGCGACCTCGTTATGAAGTCAGGTGGCCAAATGGCCACTTTGGAAAGAATAAAAAAAAAAGAGAAAAAAGGAGCCGTGATTTGTCTCTTAACAGTTTTGATTTGAAAGAAATACTTTCCTATTACTCGAGTTGTTTACAGTCTAGCATTGACAGACTCTCCAATTAGCGCAGATGTGCTAAATACATTCACACTTTACTAAAGCTATTTATTCTTCGTCAATTTTGGACCATGAGCAAATGATCTTGTTAGCCCACTATACATGTATAAAAATAGTTACGTGGCAAACAAATACCGATCAATTGCCAAAAACATCAGTTCCGTGGACGTGTTACAGAAAAGTCAGGTTAAGACTAATTCATGAAATTTTACAAGTTTCAAAGTGTAAGAGGCTTTTTTGTATTTCCAAAAGTGGGTTATGTGAGGTTTCGTTGCATGACTAATAATTTATGAATTCGCACATTTGTAATCTAATTGTTAAATTGAATTATGGTCATTTAATTTTATATCCGCGGTGCTTACAGCGTATTTCGCATTACCCAATCATAGTTTAAACACGAAGCATACAATATCGTTGTTATTTGAAAACTTTTGCTTCTTGATGCATATTCGTTTTCACTAAAAAGCCCAAACGTTTGATAAAAACAGAGATGGACGGTTCGAGAGTCTTTTGAAGACGCCGGGTTCCATGTGTGGACTATCGAAATCTGCGGCTCTCTGAAATAGTAGACTTAGAAGTGTCTCGAGCTCGAGGGGAATTTATGTCGAGATCTTGGGAGTGAACGATTTAAATTCCTGTCTCTTTTCCAGCCGGCGGCAGTTTTTATTTGCACTGGACAGGTAATATGAGATTATTTTGTCTTTCGAGAGATAACAAATGTACCTTCGGTACTACGCGTGTTATTTGTTCTCAAATATTAATGTAACTTGCTCTTTTTGATGAAAATGATAGTACATAATAAAAATGGTCATGCTGATAATGAGAAAGAATGGGATAGTTGTGATGATGATGATAATGATAATTATGATAAAGTTCTGATATAATGCGTGCTGTCGTTGGCTGAAAGAGCGTGTTTTATCAGATTACAAAACACGGAGCTGAGGTAAAGCTGTCACGCCATCTGCCAATTTGTACAATGTCCGACTAATTCCCAAATTTCTCTCCAGCTTTTTTTTTTTTGTTAATTAAAAGTAAACTTTTTGAACAAGCGGGCCGTCAAGTAGCAACAGAAGAACCAAACAAAAGTTTGTAGACATGCCAAGCGCCGTATTTGACGAAATTATAGCATGAGCAGAGACGAAAATCACCAAAGACAAAACGAAACGGACTGTCCGAGTTTTCTAGGTTTTCACGTTCAGTTAGTTTGTCAATTAAGTGCGTACAGTTATCAAGCTCACACACAGCAAACACTCGTATATAGTTTCGTGTTCAAAACCTTAACAGAACAAAACAGGAACGATGAAAATTATAATCAAACTGGCTCCCTGATGATGCCATAAACCAGCTCCCTGATGATGCCGTAGAACGGCGAAAGCTCGGAGTAAATAAAGAAAGAACCACAGTAGCACTTAAAGGCTTCATTTGATCAATATCCCACAAACTGGCATAACTTTTAAGAATTTTTACAAATCACGGTGTCAGAACAACTGCGATCCTAGCTCATCATGGCGATCTCCGGTCATCGCAGTGAAGCAAGCCTCAGAAATTACATTGTCGTGAACTATTAAGAGCTTGTTCTGATATCCTTTCCGATGCGTTGAGTGGAAGGCCACATGAGTCACAACAGCTGAGTTTACGGACGCCTTTACCCAGAGCAATCTTTATGTTCCTGTGAATTCGGTTGTCGTTCATTCATAAAACATATCTTGAACAGTTTCTTCTCTAATTTTCATGTTGCAAAACTTGCTTGTTTTCATTAGCCATAATGCGGCCAGGTTTAACTGCAAATTTTTCTTTCAGATTCTGTATTTTAATTAAAAAGCTACGAGCAAAAGTTTTGAATTCGATCTGCCGAACTATTTCAGTAAATACAATAATTAGTTTCAAGCAGAATTGATTTCTTTAGTGCTGGTTTCAGGCAAGTTATTGGATCGTGGTTGATTAGCCGGGCTTGGTCCCACAGTCTGCAGTCACCCTTATGTATGTGTAACGAGCCCTTGGTAATTTTTATTTCAGGTCAGTCCGACAGTTTTTCTTCAGATCAATTTGTTGATGTGATTAACAGCCTGAAAAGATATACATTTTCATTCCTTTGGGACCTGATAGCGTTAGCTGTTTCCATTTATAACAAGGTGTGTACCTGGATATTCGAGAAAAGTCTATGTTTCTGCTAATTTAAAATACATTTTGGTTGATCTTCGAAACTAACCTAATTCACCAAAGCCAATCAGATTAAAGGCAAATATAACTAAAAGAACTGAAGTAAAATCAAGCAAACTGCTGGAAGCTCCTCCCTGGTATGCCTGATATTACGTCTCTTGTCGAATTTAAGAATTACCTTGGTTCGTTTTCTCAATAAGAACGTGTCAATTGGTTTGGTAATTTTTTTTATTCTGTATTGTACTTATTGTAGCATGTAATTTTTACTTTTGCATTTTGCCAATGGTTGGTGTGTTGCCTAACCGGCTTTACCAGCCTAATTGAGATGATGAGATGAGATAATGACGATGAAAAGGGCGGGAAAACGGGAGTGACCGAGTCGAGTATTAGTCTTGCATCTGATTACTTGAGAGGGTGGTGCGAGTTTCCTGGACCAATCACGGACGATAATGAAGCAAAAGTATCCATTCTGGCTTGTCTGAAATCGACGCAAACAGGCTGTGTGTTTTATTTGACAGGAAAACCAGTCAAACGTTCTTCAAGTATGCCCATTTCCCTGTGGCTGCGTGGGTGAACTGTGGATCATGTTGATCCATTTGATGGATCATCTAAGCACCAAAACAGATCTCGAGGTATGAGTGACTTCTTCAGTAGATAATCATTGTTGATCACACATTGTAGTCGGAAGACTGTTGTTCAACATGGTGGCTGAAAAATTTCGGTAAAAACTCCTAGCGCAGATCTTTTTAGCGCATCTCTGTTTTTTCAGTCATTCTGGTCAGCGGTTTCTTCCATCATGTCAGAGATTCTTTATCCCAAGGAGTCTGAGCCCGACAGTCAGGACTCTACCGTGCAGCCCTGGGCCCAGTCCTGTGGTAGGTATAAGTAGATTTTGGTAGATCCTTTACAGTTGAGTTTTCATTAGTCTGTAGTTATAGCAAGCGATTATTTCTTATTATAGAACTTTTTCCATTAAGGTGCAGGAAGTGATGTAGATTTATTAGTTTTACCTCAAAACACTCTGTGACAGATAAGAGAAACTTGCGCGATCTTCTCAACCAATCAGATGCAAAACTGATACCAGTGATAAACTCTTTTGGTGTTTTCTTTGGCTTCCCTCGACAATTGCTATCGTTCTGATAAACCTCTAAAGTTATTTTCAATTTGGCCCGACACCACTCACAAAAGCTCTTCATTTACCAACCTTTTTTTTTATGTGGATTGGATCTTTCAGCTCCTCCAGATTTCACAGTGAAGACGCCTGTTAATTTCTGTTGGTGGCTTTTGACGCATTTGTCCCCACTTTACTGGTTTACAGACAAAGGGGTGTACTTCCAGAGGAAAAAGGTAACAAGGCTGGCGACTCGAACGTGATACATGAAAACGAGGCTGGGGGGGGGGGGCATGCATGCATTAACGCCATTACGTTACGGAGTGCTGTGTGACGGGCGATCTTTACATATATCATACAGAGAATGATAGAGACTTGTATCTGCGACTCTGTTACAGCCATTTTCAATTGCATAGGTATTGCTTCGCTACACTGTGTGATTGGTCAAGAAAACTAGCGCTAACCTCTTAATCAATCAGTCGCAAAACTGAAACTAAACGCGACTTTATCGCTCGCCTTTTCATGCGCTAAAGGTAGTTTGCTTCTTTCCTCTTAAATTTCAGATTTGCAATGTGTGCGTTTCTTTTTTTTTTTTTGGCCATTGTGACTGCAATAGTTTTGCTTTTAAGGCACTCAATCGAAATGCACTCCTCAATTTTAAGTAATTACAAAGAGATGAATCACCTGCCTTTTTACAATAACTTTCTTCCTTTTTCTTGATAGAGTTGTGTTCCTGGAAACTGGGTGCTTGCCCAAGATCTACTCAAAGCATCTCTTCTAAACAACAAGGTGATAATTCCTTTGTTAAAAAACCTGCTATCGATTATGCGATGCTAAATTTAGTTACATCAATAACGTTCCCAACTGTTTTGTTGCAGGAGAGTCATGAAGAATCCCGCTGCCGCTACTCCCTTCGCTGTTGTGTTTCGTTGTCTTATCATTGGTCAGCAAATTCTGATCTTATTCTGTGGCTTTGGGATTTCTTTCACAAGAGATTGGTAGGCCCAGTTTTGTGCTGCGCTCATGTGAGGAAGTTTTTCTTGGAAAGTGCAATTTTTAAGGACAAATTACATCTTCAATTATGCTGACGAGTCTACTTGTACTTGTTTTAAAACTGCCATTTCAGTTTTTGTAGAGAGACGCACGACAAACATAAACTTATCATATTTTTCACTCACGCTTATCAATGAATCTTGCTGTAGTAAATATAACTGCAGCTTAAAATTTTCTCTCCTTCATATATTACAGGTTTGTTTAATTAGTTTTTTTTTTATCCATGAACATTTTTATATTTACTCTCTCTCCTTCTTTTTTCTTAAGAACAATTCATTTCACGTTCCTGAGCAATCTATGCATGGCTTTGGTCTTGTCAGGTATGGATCTACTCCAGTCAGCAGCTATATTTTCTTTCCGCAGAGACTTCCGACATTATATCCACAAATTCTTGACTCCCCTGTATTTCTACAAAAAAACATACTATTGAGTGACTGGACGGCTGTTGTGTGTCTTCAATATCGGGAAATTTGGCAACTTATCGGTTAAACAACCCGTATATTGGCATTTTGATGTAAACGTTTGTGGGCAATTTATATCAAGCACCAAAGAAAGAGAAAACGCTTAACTTCAACTGGTGTTTGCGTTTCGCTGATAAACATGTGTGCTTCAGCTCACTTATCCCTCAGACACTCGCTACCGATGGCCATTTTTTCTCATAATACCTTTTCTTCTCTGAGAAAGCCAAAGCGTTACACTCAAAGTGCGATTCCATAAAGCGCATCTGACGTGTTTCTACCTTCTTTCAGCTTATCTTCTCTTCAGTGGACGGAGCAGTGTTTGAACAGGTCTAAGGCTTCACATCAAGGGTGAGTTATTACAGCAAATAACGAAGATTGCAAGTTGATCTTGGTTTTAAAGTTTCTTTCAATTTGTTATACTTTGCCGCGCATCACCGTCTACATTACATTCGATGTCACATTCGTTGACCTTTTAAGTTAAGAATAAATCATTTCAAAGGAAGACTCAATGAAAGTTTTCAAAGGAAAACCAAAAATTATCGCTGAATCTTTCTTTGAACCAGACTACTCAGAAATTGAGACGTAATCTCGTAGGCTACTTTAAGGTAACATGGAATAAAGGCGATTTGATTTATTAACTGTAGCGTTTTGTTTCTAGCAGTGTTGTTCCAGAGCATGAATCCAGTTTCACTCTCTTCTTACGGCTGGTGTCAGTTCACCTCACCAAATTACTTAAGAGTGGATCGTTACAGGCCTGGAAACAGATGAAGGGCAGGTAGAAAAGGAACAGACACCTTCGATCTTTTTTTTTCTGCACTTTACTTCGTTAAGTTCGTTCGCATTTTCTGCATTTGGTCATTAAATTGTCAATCATGAGAAATATATGTATTATCTGCGATTGACAGACTATTATGAAGCAGTACGTTTCTATTTTATCTTTAGATTCTACTCAAAGTTCCATAAGCGCCGTATGGAGGAGTTGAACATCACAGGACTTCATCATTTTATCACTCTTTTTCTTACTCTTTCCTGTGTAGCTGACCTAGAAGATGTAGTAAGTTATGGTATGCCTCTGTAGGCGTACTATTTTATTCTAAATGGCTATGTTGAAATGAACAAGTGAGAGTTATTAAGCATATAACAACATTGTAACTCGAAACTCTTCTTGTTGCGCAGGTTGTCATAAAAGAACGGAACGTAAATTGAACGGGGGAGAAAAATTGGGGCTAAATGATAGGTTCTGGTCGTTGGATATTCCATGGTGGGGGTCTTAGGAAGGGTTCCATATGGACAGATGGGTGGATATGGAGGAGCATAGACTCTGCTGGGATCGAGTTTGTTCTCCTCGTTGATTAACGCGTAAAATTACTCGAAGAAGTCACAAATATCTTTTCTTGCACAGGCGCACAAGATGTGTTCGTTTCTTGACTTGCTGGACTTTCACAAGATGGCCCAGGAAAAGAAAATTAGTGTCTGGAAAGGTGAGGATATTAAGAATGAAACGTAAAAGGAAGAAAGGTGAAAGACAAGGAGAGGTTGTAATTTAGACTAGTTGTGTATTTTGTAATAATTATCAGCTATCATACTATTTGTTTTCTCTACATAATCAGGGCTTTTTGCCTTGATGCTCATTTACAAGGAGAAGAATGTGGATTTTGGATACTTGGCGGAAAGATTGTCGTACAGTTTTGTCACGGTTGCGAGGTGAGAATGCCAATCTCGTCAATCAATCGATCAATCGATCAATCAGTCAGTCAATCAATGTTAATGTTTCCTTCATAAGCTTGGAAATACGGGTAAAATTTATCTCTTTTTTTTTTGTATTAGAAAAATTGTTTATCAACATAATTGTTTTGGGATAAATATAGAAGCTGTTGTTTCTTTTAGGGAATACACGAATTCCTCTCGAGATAAAACTCATCAAAAAAACTGCTGGCAGTTGATCACACTATATCTGGACAGTACACAGGATGTGTTCGAACACAAAAATAAACAGGACTTGTCTGAAAGTAAACTGATTGGTAAGTAATTTGGAATTTGAATACGTGTGAGATTTTTTTTGAGGACTGCTGATGGAGATTGAGTTTTTACAAGTTTTTTTTTTGTTTCGCGTTCACTTTTAATCTCTCGTGTGAACTAAAACAGCGAAAACGTATTAGCAAGTAAGGCTGAACGGCATAGATTAAGAGAAGCCGATTAACCTCAGTGGGCTTGCATGTTTTTTAATTTTTTTCTTCAACGTAAAGTATCTTTTTGCCCTGAAAATCAAATTCGTTGTTGGAGTTCTCTGATCTCTCTCGTCTTTGTTTGATTGTTTGTTCGTTTGTTCTTTTTTTTTCAGCTGATGGATTTCAATACCTTTTACATTCGTGTCGTGACAATGAACTCCGATACTTGCTGAGCTTTGTACAGACAACTCTGGCGTCATTAACGTACGGGTGAAATGTAACAATTGCTTTTACTTCTTTACGGACACGAGTCGTTCTCTAGCAGATAAGTAATTTTCTTTTGCTTGAAATGGAAACTGCCATCAATTTACGCATTTTACTTTTTTTGTAGGCAAAAGTACGGGGATAGACCAGGATTCTCAGGTACTTGTTACGTTTTTGTTGTTGTTGTTGTTGTCAAGTTGTTGTGTCATGGTGACTAGTAGAGATTGATGCGCTGATGCAGTAACGAGACTCTTTTTGTAGCTTTTCTATCCGGGATAGATCCTTGGTAATGGTTAACTAGTTTGCCTTTTTCCAAACAACATTGTATAGCGTAGTATACTAGTCCAACACCTGTCACACGTTACTCGCATTCAAGTGGTTTTTTTTTTGTTATCTAGACGCTGTCAGTGTGATGTGGAAGCACGTGTTTAGTCACGTGAGGAACCTAACATCTGACGGTCTGTGTATCCAGTCGGTACCCAGTCCCTTAGCTGACACGTTGGCCGGCTTTACACTCTCTGCTCTCGACAGGTAGTAAGCGCCTGCTAAATCGGGTGGCATTGTGAAATGATATCATCAGAGACAGGTGTTTCAATAAAAGCCGGGGTATCAGCTGTCTACCGCTGCCTGCAAGGCCTCTTACCGCCGCTTGTTTAGTCTGTGAGGGACCTCTCGCGTTTGAGTTTTGCTTATGGCACAGCCGCCTATTACGTCGTCGGCAGCTGCTTATGAAAAATTTATTGAAACACCTTTAGTGTTCGATAGTAGATTTTAATTGAGGTCCACCACAACTTGTGAATGAACGCTTAATAATGACGTCATTTTTTGAAAATTCCTTTTCATGCCCAATGTGAAAAGATCTCATGAGTTTTCTAGATCAATAACGCCGCGTAAGAAAGAGAAACCAAAAGCTTGCTACAGAGAGCATATATCTTTATCTCCGCCATAAAGAATTTACGTTCAATTACGACACTGAAAGTGTTTCTAGATTCCAAAAAGTAACCTTGAAATTCGAAAATTTCTTCAAATGTGCCAAGTATTTGACTATGCAACCCGGCCGCACACGCCAAACCACGTGTGTTTCACGACCAGAGGCTATTCTTGGTAGGATTATGCAAATGAAAACAGGGCAATAAAGGAAAACCAGTGCAGTTTCGGATAAGTTATTGCTTACTTGATGCCCTCGTTTTAGTAATTTTGCCGTAGTTTCACTACTCTGTGTTTTACGCGTATGTTTAAGATATCCTGAGGAAGTCACTGGCACAACTGGGGTGACGTTTACCAGTCTGTTACGGGATCTTGGTATTAAAGACGAAATGTCCGCAAGGTATGTAGAATTCAAAACTACTCTAACTAGAAATTGTCTTCGATCACCTGTTAAATTATACTTCGAGAAGTCCCTCCTTCTCGCCTAAAGTCTGTCATGCGAGTCCAAAATATTGGGTGAAAAAAAATTGTTGTTTAATGGCGCACTTCGTGGAACTCTGGGAGTTCGAGTGTGAACGCGGCGCAATAACAACAATTCCTTTTTTTTTCGCTGATGTTTTTTGGGCTCGCGCGACGGACTTCGCCAAAAAGGAGAGACTCATCGTGGTCTACCGAAACATTTTCACAGCCAACTACCATAGTGATTGTGTGAGGAGAATGAATGTCTTGAATTAAACGCAGCTATGTGTAATATTATTGGTTGCAGCTTTTGTTGTCGATTCCTATGTCACATTTTACCCTGTCCTTCGGCAACGACGGCAATTCAAGCAGAGAACATGGAAAGAGACATAATCCACGCGTGGTTTAGATGTCTGTTGCAGCTACCACCCTCTCATGAAGGATTAACAGAACTAACCAGGTACCCCACCCCTCCCTCCCTCCGTGAGTTTGTCACATGAGGAAGAATTTGTGATTAGAAACACCTTTAACTTGTGTCACTAGTGCGATAGAAATAAAGTAAGCCCGTTCAATCCCCCCAGTTTCGTCCGATTTCCGACAGTTCCTTTTAGTTTTGGACGATTTCGTCTAACATTGAATGTTATCATCCAATTTCAGACGGTTCTCTGATTTCAGAGGGTTCAGTGTAACATCCAACGTTTCCGTGAGATTTTCGGAGGGTTCGTCTAATTACGGAGGATTCCGTCCAAATTTTGGAGGATTCCGTCTAAATTTTGGAGGATTCCGTCTAATTTTGGAGGATTCCGTCTAAATTTTGGAGGATTCCGTCTAATTTCGGAGGGTTCCGTCTGATTTTGGCGGGTTTCTTCTAATTGTAGAGATTTTTGTCTAATTTCGAATGGTTCCGTCTAATTTTGGAGGGCTTCATTTAATTTCAAAGAGTTCCGACTGATTTTGGAGCCCTCCGTCTTATTTCGGAGGGTTCCTTCTAATATCGGAGGATTCCGAATAATTTTGAAGGGTTCTGACTAATTTTGGATTGTTCCGTCCAATTTCGGAGGGTTTCGTCTGATTTCGTAGGGTTCCGTCTGATTTCGCAGGGTTCCATCTAATTTTGGAGGGTTCCGTCTGACTTCGTAGAGTTCCATCTGATTTTGGCACCTTCCATCTGATTTCGGAGGGTTCTGTATAATTTCGGAGGGTTATGTCAAATTTCGGAAGGTTCCGTCCAATTTCGGAGGGATTCCGTGTGTTTTCGAGTTTAGCTGCACATTTTATGTTGTAGTCTGTTTGTACTTCATATTAAAATTGATATTATTTTAAGGGTTTTCTACATGAAACCCTGCTTAGAGAAACTTGGCGACCTTTCCCCATGTTATCGAAGTGAAATGAAGGTGATAAAAAATAAAGTAAAATCTTAAAATATGGTGTTCAACTCAACCAAAGGATGAATTTTTAACATTTTGAAAAATTTCCCTTTAATTATAATGTACGTGTTGAGTTCTTTGTAATCGTTTTCTGTTTCTTTTGTCTCACAGGGCAGTGGGTAAATTACCCGAGCTGGAGAAGCTACTGAGGGGCCAGGTAATACCACTAACTTAACTTCACTGTCATTGCGGTAACAGGTCGCAAAGATGCGCTTTTTCCTTTTTGGATACAACAAGAACGGTGATATCACTCAAACCTCGATATTGTAGACGAGGACAGTCCCAAAAGCTATGTAATTGGCATCCAATCGTGCTCTTTTCGAGATTTTCGCGCTGAGTTTTGGAAGTGGTCCTATGACGTGGCCGATTAGTAATCTAAGAGCGCTCCATTATCAGGTCTGGCAAGACTGACTATGGCTCTTGCCCTTGTAAACGGAAGAGGAAGATCCACTGAGCGAATTTTTGCGAGCAAATGCACTTCTCCTATGTTTTATACGGAAAGGCTAGTAAAACCGTTTGTGATTTGATATCAGGCACTCGTAACTTCTGCGCGCGATTTTTACAGTGGGTCCGCGCAGGGTTTTTTCCTCAGGAAACTAATCAAGAAAGACATAGACCTTCAATTGTGCTTATTCAGTGAGAGGTTTTAATACATACTTGTGCTTCTTATAGCCTGGATTCGGAACTGGTGAAAGTAGTGAAACATCGTTGCAGCTATTTATTGTTGCGCTAGGGCGTCATCACGCATCACTGGTAAGTAAAACTTAGCTTACGGAGAAATTTCCAACTGAGTATCGAAAATAACCACCTATTGCATTTGTTTTATTTTCCTACGTTGTGTTGTTCATTAAGAAAACTCATGACACTTTTTCAACCAATCAGAAACAGAACCCAAACCAATGACAATGTGTTCAGCGGCTCTTTCCTGCGCTTGAGCCCGATTGGCTCTTGGTGATGTCTAGCTTTATTTTGATTGGCTGTCGTGATTACTATAAATTTAGGTCCCATGACGTTTAATCGGCATGCGGCCCCATAGTTATTGATAAAAGAACAGTTAACTATCTTACTTATGAATTGTGGAAACTTCTGGAATTACTAAAATTAATAATTTTTGCCCAACGCGGAATTTCCCAGACGAATACATAACTGTTTCCACTATGTCTACAGACAAAGTTTGACGACTCAATCCAGTTCCGCGAGACAGTGCAGAGATACCTGGGTGACGTCATCAAGTATGTTGACCACGTGCTAAAAGATGTTGGACCTGCGAATCTACTGAGGTAAGTAACGATAATACTACCTGCCCCATATGCTACAAAAATACCTGGGAAAAGCTCCGGGCATGCGCAGTTGTGGACCTCCAAGCTCCTTAGTCTTTATTGAAATAAAAGGCACTCTGCTGTGACAACCACGACGAAAGAGGTTTTACCACAAACACGCATTCCACTGATACATGGTTTTTAAATATTGACGGATCGTATTTTCAAAACACGTCTTTGGAAGTGATCGTTAAAATGATTACCAGTAACTTAAAATGTGAACAAACAACGAATAGCGTAAAAGCTTTTCTCTGCGAACATTTTCATGAAAGGCTGGCTGTGAGTCACGAATCAACAAAGTCTCTTCATTTGAAAATCTGTATGTTCTTGTACTTGCTATAATTTCAAGGTGGTTCCATTTAATATTATGATCAGTTTAGGTAAAATGTTAAGGTAAAAATGTGTGAGGTAATCAGTGGTGAGACTATTTATATGTTTTTTGATAGGATTGCATATCATGTTGCTGGACTTCTGACCAAGCATTGTTATAAGATCATTTACAGCCGGGTAAGGCGTTAGTACCGTTTTTTAGAATAACTTGAAATTTTACAGATCTTTTCGCGCAATCAAAGTTGCTATTAACCTTATTTGAAGGTTGAATGACTTTCGTCTTCTGTGCAATCTCTCTTTATTATTTTCAGACTCAACCCAGATGTCTTTTTCCTCGGTTGGTTGACCAATTTGTTCTCCCACTTCCTAACAGCAAGAAACCTGTTGCACCTTTGGTCATGCAGTGTATCAAAGCACACTTACATCAGGTATTTGGATCAAAGTATTCGAGTAATTCCCAATTTAGTACCGAAAGAAATTTGAGATTTCATTGGTTTTTCTCTACTTCCCACCGTGATTGGTCAAGAAAACTCGCAAACAATCAAATACAACCTTGACTGAGTCTCGTTGTCGTGCGCTTGAGTTCCCATGGTTGGCTACGTGAGGTATTTTAAACATTCGCAGTTTATAATTGTGTTTTTTTTTTCGCAGTTTCTACAGGGTCTTGCCTGCCTAGATTTCAAGAGAGATGAATTTATACGGAGAAAGATTAAACAAATATTCATCTCGTACTTTCGGCTTTTCAACCAGGTAAGAGCAACTTTCATTCAACCGAAAGAACGCGCTAAAGAAAGTTTGTTCGCCCAGGCTAGAGAAAAATTGTTGAGCATTGCAGTTATTATACTTCTTACATCGCAATTTTCAAATCTTCGCGGTCCTTTATGGTTGTTGCAACAACCGACGAGAACGTCAATGGTGTAGTATTGGACTTTAAATTTTTCAGCCAACCAAAGCAATTTGATTCCTCGCCCTTACATTCTAGACCGACTTAGCTTTTAGAAGTAATTTTTCAATTTGTTGAAATTATTTTTTGTCACAGATTTTGCCTTCGTCCTCTCAGGCGGCCAATATTCCGACTAAGAATCCTTTTCTGGTATGTTAACTTGCTCATTTACTATCTATGGGTTGTTACATATTCAAATTGTTTTCGATATTATTAGATGTTTTTTTGCATGCATATCACCGCGGAATGACGACAGAAAGTTTATGCATGACAATTACGGCAAGGAAACTTTAAAGAGCTTCCATCTTGAATCATAAAACTTATATTTTCCAAGTTGGTAGGTTGCAATTTGTTGTAATTTTATCTGTTCTGAATTTTCCTTTTTTGTTTTGAGTATATGCTTCCCTCGGTGGTTTTGAATCTCACCAAACTAGCTGGTTTCCCGCAAGTTCGACGCGATTTTGAACGTCACAAAAAGGAGGCCACATATTATAGCGTGTTTTCTTTCCTTCTCATTCTCGGCAAATGGTTCTTTTTTTTTTCCTTTCTTTTATTTCTTCTGAATTGATATATGGACTGAAGGAGAAGTGAACAAAATAATGTTTAACTTTTACCTTCAGCTGTTATCGCAAACGTCATGCACAACAATAATTCTGATAGGTCTCTCTATGGACTTTCCACAGGTAGTTCTCAAAGGATCATGTTTAACCAATCCTGCACCTGAAAACAGGTTTGTGAAACAGGAAGGAAGCTATAAATAGCTCATTTCTTTACATCATCTATGAAAGACACTCGTAAAATTATGAAGTCTTTGTTATCTTTTCTTAGCGATCGCCACCACGAACTTGAGTGTCGTAAAACCAAACTAAGTTACGAACAACGGCTAATCTGAGCAAAGGAAATTGTCATCAGGGAGCTTGTGAGAACTTAAAATAAAAGCAAGCAACATTCCCACCAAATTGTCTGAAGGGCGGGAATACGCGAAGGATCAAGTTTCGATTGGTGTTAGTTTTACATCTGATTGGATAAGAATGTGTCTTGAGTGTGCTTGTCCAATCACAGGGCGTAGTGAAGAAAACCCCTTGCAATCCTTATTGTCTACAATAAATGAAAATTGCTCCCATGCGAGAAGCACAATGGAAATACTGAAACATAGAAAAAATAATGGGAATATTATGTCCAGTGTTTAGACTTGCGAATGTAAATAAAGATCAACAACTTTTTTTAGAAGGTGTAAGTTCCAAGAATGTTGTTAATGTTTTCGTTCTATAAAATCGTTCTATTTTTTCACTGTAGCGAATTCCGCCAATTCGTTGTGGAGATCATTCAAGAGAATTTCTTGTGCCTTCCGCAGCAGCCTGCGAATCTAGCGACAGTAAGTTCCTTATTCAAATGTTGTTATTGATAAGTTCCTATAAGGTAAACTTTAGAAGAAATGATATCAAAGAATTGTTGTTTAACTATTCGGTTTGCGACCTTTTTTTTCAGACTTTGTCCTTTTTGGAGCAGTTATTTCGGAAAACGCTCTGTTCTTCTGAGACAGCAAGGTACTAGCAATTGATTTGTAGACATTCTTGTTTACAATTATCTTTTTGATTAATGCCTCATTTGTCTTTCTTATGGACAATAGGTTTCACAATGAAACGGGTTCGTTTCAATATGCTCCATTTTTAAAGGGGCAGCGACTTAAGCGAATGAAAACTTAAAGGGGCTGTGTGCTCAATCGTTTCGAAAAGTCACTTTCCTAGAATTCATTGTGGACAAAGAAACCCTTCCTTCCCTCCCTCCATCCCCCCTCACATGACCTCTGAAGACGAGGTTGGAATGCACACAATCTAGATCGGTCCATTGGCAAACCAGAAACTAGTCTGAAACATTTTAGACCCTGTGCGCGTGAAAGTGACGGCGAGGAAATATGTCAAATTTAATCATCTCCTGCTTTAAGGATCGAACAGATAAATTAAGGGAAGGAAATCGTAGCCAGCTAAACGGAGAACAAAATGGATAATTTTTCTCATTTTTCCATTGCAGAAACACCCCAGTTTTGCTGGAATCTATCATGTTTTGTTTACTAACGTGTAATCAGTTTACCGCGGGAAACGAACCCCCCGAGATAAGAAGGCAAGGTAAAGGATTTCAAACATAATGGTAGTTGGGTTGTTATCTTCTTGTTTAATACACTTGAGATAAAGTAAAATAGTTTCTCGTGATGTAGTCACCCCCGAGCTGGACCGCGGAATGTCGAATGCATGCTGTGAATCCTAAAGTAAGATTGTTTTTATTTTTCTGGTGGGGAGAGCTCTAGTCGATATAGGCTAAAGTAATGAAATTTTTATTGTTGTAATATGCATGTATGTATGCATGTATCAAAGTGGTAGTTTCTAAAGAAACTGTGATGCTGCGTCGATGGGAGAGTATAACAGGGGATTGTCTAACAGGCCCTTCGTCAGAGCTGACGAAGGGCTAACGTTTGAAATGTCAGCCTTTAAACTCTTTAAGGTGGCCAATTTCCGTTATCAACCCAGTTGATAATACTAAATATATATATCAACTTTATTTATAGAGGGTGACAACAGCCAATTAAAAACTGAAAAAAACTTGCGGTTCTTAGTATCGTTTCTTAATGTACTCATTGTTTGCATGTTTAGATTTGAGGAGGCGAACATCAGACATCAAGACATTTAGACATTAGTGGAAAATATGATGCAATAGAGCTGTTACAATTTTGTAAAGATAGTGAAACACTTTTTCCTGATCGTTTTCCCGGTTACATGAAATAAAGTAAATAATAACAATAATGGCTGCGGATGGACAAGTGTGATACATGTTGTGGCAAATGGGAATAGTTGCTGACGGGTGAATTTTTAAACAGGCATATATAGTGAATCTCCTTTCATTTCTTCTTTCATTTCAGCCACTGAAATCTTACGTTTGATGGTTGGAGCTTGTACGAAAACGCCGGAAATGAACCCCAGGTAAAGAATGAACTTTTTGTTCCCTTAACGGACGTTTCTTTTTTTTTTTTAAGGATTAAAAAGTTTGTGTATTTAGAGGGTAATGTTGACATTTTGAGGTGATTTCTTTGTTTTTTCAGGGAAGCTCTGTTGCCTCACTTAAGAAATTTCTTGTACAGTAAAATCACTCTGTACCAGGTGAGATTGTCTGAGATTACAGCTATGGGCAAAAATAACAACTACGTAGGAAAAATAACAAACATAGCATGCTATTTTCCATTTGTTTCTTTTATGATAAGGCTTTTCTTATCAGCTGTGGGTGTCACGGGTTCAATCATGATCAATAGGCATGTTCTCCTTACTATTCTCTATACATTTCCTAAGGTCCTGACGAGGGGAATTTGTTTAACAGTCAAGAGACCCTTTAGTTGGTAATCGTTTCTTTTACTCTTGTGACCTTAATGTTTGATTCAGGGTGATATTGTACGGGGAAATAAGATGCCAGTCACTCATAGGGTGAAAGGGTTCATTAACTGGAAGCTGATGAAAGGAAAAATTTGAATGTTTTTGCCTGTTACTGACGTTTGTCGACATTTCATTTCCGCGCATTTTTAACTGACGTAGTAAAACCTTACGCACTACTCTTCTTTTTTCAGGGTTTAGTGTTTAAAACACTTGAAACACTTGTCCCCTTCGACTCAGACCTCGTCACGGCGTTGATACCCGCCTGTAAACAGGCTGTGATACAGCTCGAACAGAAGAGGGGAGTGGGAACTGACATGCAATTGAGGTAAGCTGATTACTCATAGTACTCATCATACCCTTCAATTTTCTTTTGAAGAGTAAGGGTGGCTGTACACAGGCTAATTACTCTTAAATACTTTATGGAAAAATTTTATTTCTTGCGAATCCCTTGCATTATTAGGATCAAATTTCATTATTTTTGTCTTTTTGCATTGTGCTGTAGATCTTCGTTTAAGTCATTTCTGAGTAAACTTGGACACAGCGGCGGAGAGGCAATCAAAGATTTCGAGAAGGAAGATACGGCCACAACATTGAATGTATCCTGATAGCAATGGTTTTAAGAGAAGTGATCAGTTGACACAAATGCCCTGGAGAAGGACTTTACGAAAGCTGAAGAGGAATTAAAGGCAACTGCGACAGTCGACGAAGTGATTAATGTTTTGGCTCATAGTGAAGAACACGTTAGAAAAAAAAATTTTCGTAAAAAGATATACAGAAAAAAATGAGAGTGAATGAAGTAACTATTATTTTCTCTAGCCTCATTATTAGCCCATGTCACATTTCACGTCGTGGAAAATTTAATAATTTCGAGCATGAAACAGTTGATATGCATAATGGGAGAGCTCACTGCGGTGAAGAATCGTGTTTTTATTTCTACTAATTGTATTCCAAAACCTACGGTAAAATAATAAATCTCTGTCTTTAGAGCAATTTTTGGGGCGAAGGACTACACCCTTTTTCTTCTTGAATTCCACCCATTCACTAAAGTTAACCCCCTGAAAATTCTTTTTCAGGAACGATAAGAAGTATACTTTAGTGATGGTAAAATAAATCAGATAACTTAGATACATCTTTGAAGTTAAACCACTTGAAAACTGTCCAAATTTGCCTTCAGGAATACGGTGCCGCTTAAGACAGATTTGACTGTAACCGTTTCCCTCCCCACCCCTTCGCCTCGTATAAAAAGAATTGAACGGTCAAAATACATGAATCACACCCGAAAGAAAACTCTGTGGTCTTGTCCTTGCCCATTGTCAATGGGCAAGTTACTGGAAAATTCGGCTAGATCCTCTTCCTTTGGATTAGCTCGCGTCCAGCTCCAGTCGCGTCGAACAAAGACTAACTCTGTGGCAGTTGGAACGTCTTCGTCCACAATAATGGTTCTATATCGTGAGAAAAATGATGAAACGTTCGCTGGGGAAATTTTGTTCGATCCTACCAATGTATTGCGAAGAACGATTTCAGTCGTGACTCGACTGAACAAAAATATAGCGTGACTCATCAGGTCAGCTGTCTCAACATGAAAGTAACCAATACTGGGCCGTCAGTGTGACGCTGCAAAAATTTATAGTCGCACCGTGACTGTTATAAGAGTTGAGTTTGCTTTTTTTTTTCGTGGAGAAATGGCTCACTTTTCGAAAGGATCTGACAAGCCGGCGCTGAAAGGCGAGAGCCTTCGCCTTTACAGTATGAGATTCTGTCCATTTGCACAGGTAAAGTACATCGTGTCTGAGGCAACGTAGTTCGTAGGCGCTTTGCATGTTTCTTTTACGACTGTTTCATTCACTTGTTTGCGTGCGCGGCACATCATCGTGTTTTGTGTTTTTTGTTTGGTGCTTGTCTTTATTTTCGATCGTTTGGCACATTCTAGCAAGCTTCCGTAATAAGCCATCATTTCCATACTTCATTGTAGTTTGAGTTGTATTCATCCCGGTGATTTATTTGCAGAGAGCACGACTTGTATTAGCAGCAAAAGGAATCGAGTACGAATGTGTGAACGTCAATTTGATGGATAAACCAGAATGGTTTATCGAAATGAACCCAGCTGGAGCTGTCCCAGTGATCGAACTGCCTGATGGAAAGGTTCTTTATGAATCTGCGATATGCTGCGGTTGGTAAAATGTTTTTTGTTGCTGTTGTTGCTTTTGTTTCGCGCTCCTTACTGTTTGACGCTAAAGGAACGCACGATTCTCATCTCACTTTCCGGCCTATGATTGCAGAACCGATCGATAAAACGGTCCAAATTTGATTTGCCAAAAAATTGTAGGAAACTCTGAAGCTCTCATAGAAACTCTGCATGGTTTAAAATTTCCGACTGTGAACTTGTGTGGCCAATCTCGGCAACCATTGGTAAACTAATTGGTGTCCCCAATTAGCTAATCTATAGCTAAAAACATTGACACGTTAATTAAGTTTTCATTCATTCATTCCTTCAACAGTTTTTTAAAGTTTCTCCTGCTTCACTTCACAAAACCTTTTGGAACTTTTCATAGAGATAACATAATAGGCCAAATAATCATAAATGTAGCCCTTTCATTCTCACCTAATATTTAAGGAGCAAGCCCTTTTTAGTTCTAACTTTTTCTCAAGCTGAACTTTCTTCAGACCCTTTGTCAACTCCTTGTTAATTTTGTTTACTTAGAATTTTTGGAGGATTTTTATCCAGAGAAGGAACATCTATTTCCAAAAGATCTAGTTGAAAAACACAAGCAGAGAATAATGGTTGAAGTTTTGGGAAGCAAGGTATGATTGATCTTTATTAAAGCTGTTTTATATAATAAATGGTACTAAGTTTGAATCACATAGCAAAGACTTGGACATGGCAAATGGCAGGTGGCAGAATTTTTTAATTTAGTTATTGGGAATGATTGGCATATGTATTATTTTTTTTAGTTGATTCCTGCTTATTATAAAGAGATGCTGGGTAACGGAAGTCCTGAAACAGTGGCAGAACTAAATAAACATCTGACTGCATTTGAAAAAGAACTGAATGGAAAAAAATTTGTTGGAGGTGGGTCATGAAATAAACTACACCTGACAACTTTTTCTTATGTCAGAAGAGTGTGATTAGAATATATTTCTTGAATTTCTAATGGAAATCCAAAAACTTCTGAACTTTACTGCAGAAGTCCTTCTGACAATTTCTAAATGTGGCTGAAAGATCCCCCTACATTTTCAGCTGAAGTCCAAACATTTTTTCATTTAACAATGCTAAGTATCCAGTTTAATTTGGCAGGTATATGTTTCCAGAGTAAAATTTATCTTCTGGAAAATTGACAACAAAGGCAATTAAACTCACACAGATCAATATTTATCAATCTGTATCTGCCAGTTTCACTGACACAAGGGTAAATAATTGTTTCACATACATACCACACAGAAACTAAAAAATTAGTTTATTTTTGTCATTATTCTGAGAAATGGTCCGAAACTAAACTCTTGACACATGATTTTGTCTCTTCAGTTCTTGCCAGTCACTTGCAAACTAGCCAATCAGCACATGTGAAAAGTACTATTCACTTGTGTGGTGTACAATAATAAAAAAGTTATCCCAGTTTTTATAGTCTTTTCCTTTTAAAACAAAAATCCACTGAATTGTGCTTGGAGATTTTTACATTAAAAAACACATTAGACACATGGCAAGATGTAGGACCTTAGAAACATAAGAAGAAAACTGGGTGTTTGGTTAATTTGAGTATTGGAATGTTGGGGAAAAGTATCACACATAATAAAAATGCATACATTCCGGCTTTCTTGTAACAGGTTCAAGTCCCAGCATGGCAGACTACCTCATGTGGCCATGGATTGAACGACTCTATCTAATAACTGATCTCCTGAAGGGGTTCCCAGTGCTCTCAGCCTGGTGTGCGGCCATGAGTGAAGTGCCTGCTGTGAAGGAGTGCACTGTTCCGGCAGAATGGCACAAAAAGTTCTATGAAGGCTACAAAGCGAAAAATCCAGATGCACAGCTTGTTGGTCTCGAATGAAAAGCCTGAAACACAAATGTTAAACACGATCCTAGAGATACCGACAATGTAGAAAGGATTCTGTGTTTATTAATGATCATATAGCTGTGTACGAAACGAGAGAAATAAAAACTAAAGAAACAATCGCATATTCAGTAACAAGGCTGAGAATATACTCTTAGTAAACGATGTTACCACCAGCGTAGAAGTTGAGTCGTTGCTGTGTATCATTGTATGTAAATCATTCCATAACGGTCAGTAAGCCATGAAAGCTGCTGTCCTTTGCATTTTTACGATGGTAGGCTGGGAACGACTAGAAATTCCAAATGTAGGACTATTACTTGGAATAAGTGTGGATACACACATTGAAAATCTAATGTGCCGAAAACAGAGGGAAAAAAGTTAGTAAGGAAGAGTATACGATGAAAAATGTATCAAGCGCCTCCTACATCTTGCAGCGGAAACTAGCGAGGGTTCTATTATCTTATCAATCTTGCCACTTCCGTATACGTCAATTCTGTTCACTGTCCTTTCGATACTTCTTTGAACAAGTCATCTCATCAATGAACGTTCTGTTACACGAGCTAAAAGGCTTTGCCGAGAAGAGGTTTTAGACTTGGTTTTTCCCTCCCCCATCTTTGATAATCGTGATAATTTCTAATCATGAAACCCCTTGGTGAAATAACCCCCCTCCCACAAGCTGGTAAGACGTTAAGGTATGACTCCCAGGCGGACCTCTTCTGCAAATTTGTCAGCTTTTCGTTTGTTTTGTATTTTTCCGCTGATGCATGATGAATGATTTGTGTGCAGAGAGCGCGACTTATGCTTGCAGCGAAAGGAATCGTGTACGAATGTTTAAACATAACTTCATGTCTAGGCCAGACTGGTTTTTTTTTTTAATGAATCCGCTTGGCAAGGTCCCAGTTATAGAGCTTCCTGGCGGAAAGGTCTTGTATGAGTCGGCAATAGTGGTAAGTAACCGTCACGAGGAGTGGAAATGTGTTGGCAAAAAATCCTTTAAGAGATCCAAACTCGATCTTTAGTCGCTATTAGCTAATTGGACGTGCAATAGTGTTGTAGGATCTCTCACCCATCTTGTGCATGGATCGTTTCAGTATGGTGTATAACTTCCAAAAACTTGACTACGGTACGAGTGTCAAGTAATTAACTCACTATCGGGCAAAATAGTTGATAAAAAGAAGAATAAGATCGTTTGTTAATTGCTTATCTTTGCTTGTCAGTCGCATGTAACTCTAAGTAGAGAAGTACGATAAGTGACGTGATCTCAAGCGTGCGTGACTCTAAAATGCGTGACTGATGACTGTGCAGGGACTGCGCAGTGACTGTGCAGTGACTGCGCAGTGACTGTGCAGTGACGGTGCAAACTCATTCGAAAGCAAACGTACTCTGTGAGCTATCGTTCTGTGGACTAAAATGACTCACTTTTCTAAAGGATCCGAAAAGCCTGTCTCAAAAACAGATGGCCTCCGCCTCTACAGTATGCGATTTTGTCCTTACGCACAGGTAAACATTTTGACGTTCTGTGCGTGCCGTATTAAACTTGATAGCCATAGTTGTGAAAGGCCAGCTTCAGTATTTATTTCATCTGCCTTCTTTCTCGTTGGTTTTCTATTCGGGGTACTTGTAACACATTCTGCGAAATATACTCAGCGATTGTCTATTCCATGTTTGTAGAGAACACGACTAGTGCTTGCAGCAAAAGGGATTGAGCACGAGTGTGTGAACATCAACTTGAAAGACAAACCAGAATGGTTTTTCGAGCTGAACCCCGTTGGAAAGGTCCCAGTGATTGAGCTGCCTGGTGGAAAGGTTATTTACGAGTCTGCAATATGCTGTGGTAAGGGACAAGGTTTTGAAATCTTGCGTACGGGCCAAACAAGAAAATTCTTTCATGGCCTGGATTTCAGGGGTAACTTGAAAACCGTATATTTATAGTCAAACTATTGCAACTTCTCGATCCATGTGCGATTGTTGTTACTTGTCTTCACTTCTCTTTTCAGAATAATTACTTAGAACGTTATTTAGAGGAGTTAATATGTTTTTCCGATAACAGTACTGTTTTTCATGGCAAGTGCTTGGCAATGTAACAACTCGGATGTCATGTGACCTAATACGGAACTGTACGTAGAACAAATCGCTGAATTTTCTCCAGGCAATAGTATTTGGGTAACCGGACTCATCTGCTTGAGATCCAAAATATCAATCTTTCCTTTTTGACTCGACTAGTTCCCTCTGAAATTAGTCATCATAAAATATTTTCCTGTTTATGAATGATTTCTTCTGAGGAGGAAGGGTTCAAGTTTGATTTACTGAAATCCCAAAGCCCACTGGTTCTGCCCCGGATTGAAATTTGATGGACCCAGTCCAGCAAGGAAAGCTTTAAACCAAATTAGTCTAAATTGTAGTCAAAATTTACAAAATGTCACACTTTCATCCTAAGTTGCAGATTCCTGTGTAATGAGGTGAAAAAAACCCATGTCTGTTGCTAGACCTTTATTTATTTATTTTTTTCCACGCAAAAGACTTCCACAAAAACTGGCTACCTTTTTAAATGACTGGCTACCTAAACATGAAAATTCATAAAATATTGGGGTTAAACTGAAAATCAAGTCATTTGTCATCTTTCAGATTTCCTAGAAGATATGTATCCAGGAAAGACAAATTTGTTTCCGAAGGATCCATTTGAAAAACACAAGCAACGATTACTGGTTGAAGTTCTGTGTAATAAGGTACACATTCATTCTTACCCACTCCTTATAGAATGTTTCTTCAGATTCAGAGGCAGCCCTGGAAGCTACAGAGTTTTGAAACAAAAACTGATCCTCAATTCAATGCCATGTCATATGTGTCATGAATAAATTTATTACTTCCTGGTTGATAAAATCCAAGCCAATTACTTGATTTTATGCATTGCAGCTCACATCTGCCTTTTACAAATCTATACGGGGTGGTGATGATGCCAAAGAGGAACTATACAAGCAACTGGCTGCGTTAGAAAAAGAACTCAAAGAGACGAATACAAAATTTATTGGAGGTGAGCTCTTGTCAATTATTTTGATTCAGATAGGTTTAAGTATATTGCCTGTTCTTCCGATGCTAGAGGAAACTGGTAACATGACAATTTGGTTAATTGTCTAAAAAATAAAAAAAAATTATATAATATCCTTCTCCCATCTATATGTGAAGGCCAGGGTTTCCCAGTTTTCATGAGGTTTTTACATTAATTTTCTAATGAGCCCCAAGGCTTATTTCTTTTCTCTGAAATGTTTATTTCTTCATGTTGATCTTTCAGTCTTCAACTAGTTTCATACCAGGAACTCACACAAATAAATTGTACAGGAAGGATTCAGGGAGACAGGATTAGAAAAAACTTCCCTTTTTCCACCACATCCTGTAAAAGAATCAGGCAAATAGAGGTGATAGTCTGCAGAGAAATCCCTTGTTCAAAATTATTATATTTCTTATTTACCAGGTTCAAGTCCCAGCATGGCAGACTATCTCATTTGGCCATGGCTTGAACGGCTCTATCTATTGACTGACCACTTTAAGACTGACTTGGGTAAGTTCCCAGTACTCTCAGCTTGGTGCGCGGCCATGAGTGACGTGCCTGCAGTGAAGGAATGCAGTTATCCAGCGGAATGGCACAAAAAATTCTTAGAGGGATACAGTACTGGCAATGCAGAGGCTCAGTTGTATGGCATTGAAGAGAAAGTGTAAACAGGCTTTCAAATCACGTTCGTATTTTTAACGTTGCTCCTTTCCAGAACTAAAAGGAGAAGGATAGAAAACCGTAATGAAAGCATTGAAAATATTTGTCACGTAGTTGTCTTCCACTGTGCTTGTCACCCCTTGCTTCACATTACTTTCGGGGGCCGTTAAAAGTATATAATAAAATTTGACGCTTTGAATGAAACAAAGATAGTGTGAAGGTTTTGCATATTAATTGAAAATTGTTTTTGCGGCTTCTTTAAGCTTTGATGCTGAAAATACTGTTCAAACTCCAAAACTGAAGGCTGTCACACTGAAGTTCCGACAACAAGGTGACATGTTAATTGTGGGTTAAAACTTTTTTTTTTTTTACCATATAAAGAATACATACGTAAATGCACTTACAGTAACTTGTACGTATCTTGTTCCGTGTTGCTATATTCTCCATGCGGGGGCTGTAGAATTTTAATTCTGAATAAAACAACAGATCATGGGAATGTTGTGTATGTTCTTTGACAATTCTTTAGCGACTTCTCAAAATTTTGCCTAAAATTTGACGTCCAATTTCAAGGTACAAGGAGAAAAAAACGTTCACGACGTCCTTTTGGACCAAGTATAATATCAGCTTAAGGGTTCTGATATCGCAATGTTCCTCACTCATTGTTCAGCTGGCTATTTCAATCATCTCTACTCATCATCCGAAGAATCGACGTTAATTGTGAACTCAGTACATGATTTTCTATTGTCTCCAGAACTACCCAGTTTTCAGTGGCTATCGTTGCTATTCCTCGAAGTTAAAGACCATCTCAAATATGTTAGTCTTTCTTTATTTAATGATACTGGAATGGATTTCATATTCATTTTTTCTTCATTGGGTGACCTCTAAGGACGTCGAGAAAGACTCAAGTATAGAAAAAAAGTTATTCATTTCAAGTAATACACAATTTCACGAGTGGAGCTTTATTCGAGACCCAAAAAATCTTAAGAATCATCTATAGTAACGTGAGATAATAAATTTGTTGTAGACTTGCTTTGATGTACCTCTTGTTCATAGTTTTTATGATCACTAAAATGAAGTAATTTTCTTTTTTACCCACGTTCAACTTCGAGAGAAGCGGTTAATTTACTCCTCCGTGAACTCTTTGTTTAGTGCAGGCACTAAACTAACAAGCCGGTTGAAAACAGTCGCGCGGCTTTTTCACACCTCCCTCTACCAGCGGAAATTATGTGTCACAAGGCGTTACCCACTGGCAGCCAAGTTTCCAAAGACCATTATTTGATACCAAGGCTGTCGAAATCTGCGCGTGTAATTTATATCTAATTTGCATCTCTTAAGCTTTAAAAACTTCTACATTTCTTCTGTCATTGTCTGACATCCCGGAGAAAAGTTCTGTCGTTGTGGCGGGTAAGAAAATAAGCAACAAATTTTAGAAGGAGTAAATATGAAAGCAACTCGGAAAAAGAAACGCAAAAGGACACTTTATACTTTGATATTGTGCTGGCGATTCAACATTTCAAGTACACAACTCAACATCAGATGTTTTTTTCTTCATGTTTTTTACGCAATTCCGGAATTAAGCCGTCTTCGTCAATAAACCAGCTGTTTTTAAAAGCAACATAATCCATTGGGAAAATTTTCTCCACGCCTGTGTTGTAGGCCGTCAAATTAGCGGCGCAGTCTTTAATCTAAAAAAGTCAAATAAAACAACAGATGAACATCAAGGTTCTTTTGAAGTCGAATTTCTTCCAACTCACGTCACTTTTTTATTCATGATCGGAATGGAACTATTTTTATCAGTAAACTAGATGTTTTTGAAATCAACATCAAGAAAGCCTTATCATTCGTGCGTGTTTTGTTGCCTTAAATATTATGGCCTTGGGTTGTGCTATATAATATCAAGTTGAAAAGGCTGAAAAAAAATTCCGTTGAGGTCCACTTTCTTCTAGCACACCAGTTTAGGGAGTGGCTAGCGTATGTCGTGTGATCTTAAGTAAAATCTGCTACATGATTGACTGTTCAAAATAAACGCAACTTTCAAGCCGAATAAGTTCATTGTAAATTTGTGGTTTGAACTGAACTCAATATGCGCTGATATAGGTAGGAAGTTGAATAAATGGCTTTTAAAGTAGCCCTTTGATATACTCAGCAACAAGCTGCTTAAATTAAACAGAACTTTACGAATTAACTGGGACGATTAAATATGTAAAACATGGGGAAAAACAGACGGATCGATACATATCTTAACAGAGGCTGTGTTCTGCGATATAATATTATCACATCAAAGAGTCCTGTAGAGGGTATCTTATTTTGTTTTTCAATATTCGCTTCATCTACATTTATAATAACGACAATAACTCGAATTCTAGAATAAATTCTTTAGATGCAAATTTCAGCATTTGCTGTAAATATAGAAACTTCCTCCCTAGCGATATCGCGTGACGTCATTCTATGCCCATTCTTATATGAAGGCAAGAACGTAATCTTACCAACCATCTGTGCATGAAAACAAAACGTGAACACAGCCGAAGTGGATACACAACATCATGGGGAGAAGAAATTCCCTTTCACACTTTCTTTTCATAATTTATTTACAATTCTCACTGATTCCCGTAGCAAAACTCTCGTTGGAAGAAGTTTCTTCAACGGATTTTAGTGCACCTCCAGGTCACTTGGAGCCGCTCGGATCTCGTAATGTACAACACTCTCTTGAAGTTATCAATGACTTCTTAACTCCTATGGAGTTTTTCAAAAACTACGTATCCCCCATAAAGCCTGTCTTGATACGAGGAGGAGCAAAAATCTCGCCGGCCTTGACCAAATGGACAGACGAATATTTCCTTTCTTTACCCGAATCAAACGATTTTAATGTTACTGCAGAACAAAGAAAGAAAGAGATTCGAACATTCCCTGCCTACGATGTGAGCTTCAAGGAGTTTGTGTCAACGTACAGAAAAGAGGATATTTACATGGTTAATGGTGTCCCTCCTTTCCTTCAGTAAGTAAATTTCGTTGTTACTTTGTTAAACTTACCAGAGGTGGATTAACAACAATAGATTGTTTATTTGCATAATTTTCTTCGGCGGTGTTGATCGTAAAATACATTTAAATGGTGTATTAGTTTTTAAGATTTTAAAACTGTATCCTTGGTTTAACTTGATGATTTCACATACAGCTGACACATTGTCTTAAAGACCTTATAATGATTTCTGGATAAAAAAGGATACAATTTTGGTATGTTATAACGTTCTCAGTTAATAAATTCACCCCTCTATATGGATTTGCTTGAAGTAGTAGAGGTAGAGACCGAAAGACTGTAATTTAACTATATTTAAATATAATTTAAAATTTCATGCGTAATTTAAACTCACATTTAAACAGGAAAAATCGCATATGGCCTGGTCCTGAGTATTCTGAGTTGAAAATATTGTGGTCTTATGCCTAATGATACAATGTATTTTTTAGAGATTTCTTTCTTCATCACTAGAGAACTTTTGAACGGCCATGCATTATCTTTTGCTTAATGAGATCTGTGCCTACCCCTTAGAACAAACATGAGTTGAGGATATGTCAGGTGTTCCATTGAATATGTTTGCTTATATTTATGCATTTCACAACCTTTGTAAAACTCCTTATTTCAAAAGATTCTGAATTGAGATTGAAGTCTGCAGATGGTGCAGATGTTATCACGTTCTTATTGCAAGATCAAGTCAGCTATTAATTTCACAGTTTCAACAATAGCTGTTCAGCAAAAAAGTGGACTGAAGCACTATTAAATATCCTGTGTTGACAGCATGATTTAGATTGCATAGTTATCCTTCTTAAGGGTGCAGGCAAGTCAAGAATTTAAAGAAAGTGACGAGACTTTTAACTCTGTAATACATGTTTCGGCAGAATCTTCTGTCATCTTCAGTTAATTAATGTACAAAGCGTTGGAAGTTGAATTGTGATAAAATAATGGTGACAACAAGAAAGAGGCGAAGCATGAAAGTGTGAGAATTAAAAGGATAGTTTTAAATTTACATGGTGTAATTGTTGATTCAAGGATGGTTGTTCCCTTTGAGTATGAATAGCTTCTTTTATCTTGAGTTGAAAACTGGTAGTGGTGTGATCCAAAACATAGAAGCTACCTGCTGAACACAAAGGGCCACAATGTGCAGAATCATGCAGATGCCTGAAAAAGTGAGAGGCCCTGTCACTGACTAAGTGCTCTCTAACACATGTGGAAAATTGCCGGCACGTTTCACCGATGTAACAGGCATTGCAACCAGCACATACAAACTTCTGAACCACATGTGAACGGAGCCCGTCAGGGACAGGGTCTTTCACACCAAACAAGTTGCCAATCTTGAAGGAAGAGAAAACCAGCTTAATATCCAAGTTGCATTGGATGTAATGTATCAGGAGTTGTTGAGTTTGAATACTTGACAGAAATCAGTAGGGTTTTATGGATAATTCAAACACTGAATCTATCATTTCATAACATATAGCTAACCGAAAATAGTATAGTTTAATAATAAAATAGTATCTTAACACTGTTAAAAATAATTTGGGCATTGTCTCAGCTTGTAACTTTTCCTACACCTCAAGTGCTGTCCATTTTAATGCAGGAAAGATGTAATATTGCCTCCACCTCTCTTATGTAATGATATTGTGAAGGACAAGTTAATCGACACGGTTAGTCATTGTTCCAATGTATTAAATTCACTGATAAAATTGACGCCTTCTTAGAAAAACACTAAGCCTGGATCATACATTTTTATCTCAAAATTAAGTCTCTTTGAAAGGGTCTGAATTTTACAAGTTTCTAACACCTGCAGATTTCTTCATTGATTTTGTCCCTTTTTTGTGTTTTGTGTTATTCTTCTGTAAATCATTTTGTGTGTTTGTTCAGCCCTTTTCCCATGTTGTTTTAACTCTCCAGGTGATGTGGTTCAGTAGTGGTGGCACAAAGTCAGTCTTACATAACGACGATGTTGACAACATCAACTGTTTATTCAGTGGCACCAAGGAGCTTTTATTTATAGACTACAAAAAGTACAAGAAACAGGTGTGCTTGACAGCCATTTTGTTTTTCTTTTAGTTGTTTTGTTCAAAAAAAGATTGTTACCTATTCCAGGGTTAGAACAATATTGTGACATTTTGGTTTAACTCACTCTGAGATGAAAGCTTGAGAGGTATTTACCTTAATTAGAACAGTTACAAAGGTCTTATTAAGACCAAGTTTCACTTCTTTTAATCCAACCTGTCAAATGTCTTTCAAACGCCTGGTCCCTGAACTCTACATTAGCTTTTAACAATTTACAGTCAGTGTATAGTCATCATGATGCTTTCAGGCTATATACTAGTCAATATTTCTCTTCTACAAGGATTTCACCATGCAATATTGGTAAAAGGCTTTTGTTTCCTTGATTGTCAAGGTTCCTATAGATTTCCCATCTGGTGGCTATTCTGGTGTAGATGTTGATCGGTAAGATATTAACAATATTATTTTGAAGTCCATGACTGTTTTTGTTGTTAAGTGGTATATTTCCTACATGTTTGTTGGTTGGAGTTTTCACATGAGTGTTTTTGTGACCTTAAAGCAACTTGCTGGCTCATATTTGGCAACTGGATATGGGATTGTCTATACTGTGCTAAAAATTTCCTTGCATATTTTACAAGGTATTTTTGTTTGGCAAAAGAGAAAGAGGAGAAGTGCAATGGATAGCTTTGAAAACAAATGTTTGACTGATCAATGATTAATTTCAAAGAAATTAAGTTACTTCTTTATTGGTCTGAATTTTTTTTACAAGTCTGGAAATATTTTTTATTTGACCAAGGTTGAACATGAAAGGGAGGCCGTGGGTAGCATAACTGTGACATAAGCATAACCTTTTCAGTGTTAATAAATGAAATATTTATCCCTTATCTCTGAAGATCTCATTAGAAATTCTCCTTACTGTATGTCATATAGTTCTTGTGATGTTAGTTTTGAGAATTTGGTATTGGATCAACTAAGAATCCCCTAATTAATGTTTTTCCTGATCACTTGTCTGCTTGATATTATATTGATATTGTAAGGAGAAATTCTGTCTTGGTCTTAAAGGGTTAACAATTGCTGTAACTTTTTTCAGCGTTGATTTTGTTAAGTATCCCAGTTTGAAAGATGTAGAGTATTTCAATGTGACAATGGAACCTGGTGATTGTCTGTTCATTCCTTACAAATGGTGAGATTTGCTCATTTGAATAATGTAATTTTGCAGTGCTTTTTAATGACTTTAAGTTGGCTTTTATAAGTATCTTTAAAGCTGTGTGGTTTCTGGCATGAAAAACTACTTTAAAGAGTATTGCTGACTAAGCTTCATGCTGCTGAAAGGGGGAAAGCTATGGCTGAATAAGCCATGTAGCTTGAATGCTGGTCAACTGCCCTAAGGAGGGTCATCAGAAAGTCTACAAGTGGAGGGAATTCTTAGGATCCTTGTATGAATGACAATATGTTAAAGAAAAGAATATCGTTCACATGAAATTGGAATTTTTAGAGTTATAGTTGGGAAGCTCCAAGGGTTAACAATTAAAATGGGTTTTTATGATTCAAAGAAAATCTCAGAGATGAACATCAGTATTGATTGATATTATCAGGTGTACAAATAAACATACATTGTAATATTTCATGTGATTATCCTTAGGTATCACCAGGTACGGTCATATGATCGTAACATAGCAGTGAATGTTTGGTGGAAACACATACCTGACTTTGTTCCACAAGATTGTGATATGGAACCCAACCAGACATTGGACAATTTTAAGTTCTCTTCTCTTGAACAAGAGGCAAGCAATACCCAAGAGCAAGAGGGTTTTATGTAAGTGAAAGTTTGCTAAAGTACAAATGTACCTATAATTTTTAACCACAGTTTCACCTGATTGTAACTCAATCAAGATACATTTGGCTCATGCAAGAGGTATTTACAGTTGACCACACATTAGCCATTATCAACTGACTATCTACTGAACTTTGATCAATCATGGATCAACTTTGGAATGATTTGATAACTGACTATATTTAGATACATATTTGTCAGACATAAATATTGACTCAGGCCTCTGATACATTGTTCTGATGAAGGGCTAAATCTTGAAACTACAACTTTAGAAACTCTTTACGGTGGCCAATTTACATTTATCAACACAGTTGAAAAAACTAAATTATCTTTTTATACCCCCCATAGATGCAGCACTATTATAGTTTCTTTAGAAACTTTCTCCCTATTATACATGTATTATAAATGAATCAAAAGGTTTCTCAGCTGATTAATTTTCTTTCAAATTTTTCTTCAGGAAATACATGAGTGAACTGATTGCCAATGGTCAAGTTGGTTTTAGGGAGTTTGAAGACAAATTGAAAACAGTATGTAGGCTTTCACTCTAGTAAGCCTCTGGGGTGGATTTGTTACTAACCTTTAAACCCTAGGAGTGACCAGCTTCTAATTTCTCCATACAGTTATGTAATACAGCTGAATCATTCATTTATTTTATGAAAGTAAAGGAAATGGTCACCACCTTTAGAAACTTTGATTGTAACACAAAATTATCCTTGTGAAGGAAGTGAACAGAGAAAAGTATAGGGGATATGGATACTCATGTTAGGGTTGATATTTGTTCAAAAGTTATTATCAACAAAAGGATGACTTTCTATATAGAAATATAAGTCGCACCAGATTATCAGGGCTCGTAATTGGTAAGGAGATGATAACCATTACCAAACAGATTGTTGGTGGTTAATGTGAAATTTTGATACTTTAGGTTATATGTTTTAAAATAAGAAAAAAGAAATGAAGAGCTTATATTAGATGGGTGTTCCTTGAAGATTTGAAATGGATGCTTTTTTCTCTCAGGAGTCTGCCATTGTTGGTGTTGAGCCTTTTGAGTGGAATGACAAGCTGTCAGCTGTGGCTAGGAAGGTTAGAATAAGGAAGTTACTGTCTATCCAAGAAGGTTCATTCCAGTGATGAACAAACAAGACCTTGCCATTTAGTCAGTATCAATTCCTAAAAGAATCTTTAAAGGAAGTATAAACTCTGTTATTGATTCATAGGAGTGACTGGCTTCTAATTTCTCGTTACAGGATCACCCTTGAAACAAATGTAAAGATCATAAGGATAAAGGAAATGATTACCAATTTAAGAAGCTCCTGATTGTCAAACAAACTCTCCTTGTTATTGCTGTAGAAAATGTGAAGATTAGAGTGTGGAGAATATGAATATTCATTTTAGGATCTAAAGGGTGGAAGGGTGTTGCTCTTGGGGGTGTAAACAGAACTCGTTTATCGGGGGGTGAAGTATCTTCTCTGGTTATCAAATTAGTAACCCATCAGCTTCAAATCAAGCCTTTTTTGCTCTCCTATGTTATGGGAAATGTTTCTGTTATAGGCAATAGCATGGTTATTCCTAAGTCAGAATCTCTCTCCTCAGATATTTCAATTATTAGACAAGGACAAGGATGGGTTGTTTTCAAAACATGATTTCAAACTATTGGAAGAGGATACTTCAGTAAGTTTATTTTCAGTCTTCATCAACCTCACCTGTCCTTGACTTAATTTAGTGACACTTCAAGGAAGTATTACAGTTATAGTATTGCTAGTTTCAATATTCTCATTTCCTCTTAACCCCTAAACTCCCAAGATCTGATAGTCAATTCCCCCCTGCAGCTACAACATATTTCCTTTTAAATTAGTAACAGGAATTTGGCGTTAGATCAAGACAACAACTTCTACTTAATATGTTTGAGTATTCTCATTACCTGTTTGCTAGATAATGTATGGATATTGCAGGGAGAAGTTAGATTTTAATCACTTCTGGGAGTTAAAGGGTTAAATTGAAATTTTTTGTTAAATAAATTGGAGTGAGAAAAAGTTTTTCTTTTCTTTCTACATTTGTGACAAGTACTTCAAATTTATATTTCTTTCAATCCCTTTCCATCTTACCTTTAGTTTATTGCCTGACATTTATGTTGTTTTTCTCATATTTTGATAGGTGGAGAGTGTTGTTGAAAATGAATTGGCCAGGATTGAAGATATAATAGAGGATCAAGTGGAATCAAACTATTCTCTCCAAGATGAGATAAAAGATGAACTTTAACTCAAACCAACTTTCTTTTATTTTGATAATCTTTGACTCCACTCATCCACTTAGGATGACTAAATTGAAATAAATTTTAATTTTTATTTCCATATAAATGTACAGTAACTAAAATTGAGAGTTATTCTTATAGTTTTGGGGCCCAATATCTTCATTTGAAAAATGTATTTTAAAAAGTAAATAGTTAGTTCAATAATTAAGTTAAAGCAGAAGCAGTTTTACAGACATCCCTGGGACTCAGTTTTATTACTCTTCCTTTGAAATCACAGCTCCTTTCAAAGACGTCTTTTTTCTTTTCTTTTTTTTTTTTTTTTTTTTTTTTTTTTGGGGGGGGGGGGTGGGGGAAGGGGAGTTAGCAGGAAGGCACCATCAGTGGTTGATAGGAAAACAGATAAGATAGAGGAGAAAGTTAATTGAATTTCTTGACTTCCCCACCCCAAAACGCTGATCACACAGACTTATACATAAATTTGGTTTTGGTTTTGGTTTTATCAAATTAGTTGATGATGTAAATTAGCTATGGTAGGGAGTTTCCAAAGCTTTAGAATCTCTTTTCAATTTCAGTTGATGGAACCAAATTATCTTGTAAGACCCCAAACAGATACTGCACCTTTAGCATCTTACTCTGTTTATTTATTAGTGCACAAATGGTATTTTATTGTAATAATAAACAAAGTCAATCAAAATGCTGGTTCAAAACTGTTTCATTTATTAGTCATTCAGTTGGTGGATGAGATGTTCAGAAACCTCTCTTGACTTGTTACAATTCCCAACAAAACAATGTCAACTTTCAAACAACTGCAGTGGTCCGATTCCTCTTTTTTAAACTATGGCAAAATTATCTTCATCTCTTTACTACTGGTGTGTATTGTCATTTAAAAAACTTATGTACAAGTAAATTCAGAATAAAATAAATATTCAACCTTCATGAATTCATCACATGCACTAACATCTACCACAGAATTTCAATAAAATTTGTCATTTGCAAATCCTTGTTCTTAATTTACTAACATTTGTCACAAATACAATTTTAGAAGATGATTTTTGCTCCAACAAAATCTCTGGTCATAATATTTTGCTATCATTATTCTTGTCATCTACCAGTCAACCTGTGATTGAAAGACTAACATTAACTGTCCAAAATTGTGGGCTTTCCATTCTTCTTTCAATATAATTGATTGGCAATTTGTGTAACAAAAGAAACTGTAACAGTGTTACAGTAACTGTAAGATGTATTTCAAGCCTTGGCAGGAGGAAAGTCTAATGTAGTCTGTCCTCTTTCAGGATCAAGAAGTCTGAATATTTTTACTTTTGTGCTGCTTCCAATGGCACTGGAAGAAATGAAACATAGAAGTGTAAAAAAAAAAAGTGAACGAACATTTTCATAGTATACAACCAACTAGTTACAGTGAGAAAATAAAGACTGATTGACTGAGACTACCTTTGGAATGGTTACAGGACCAAACAGCATTTGTAAAAACTTAATAATGTTTCAGAAATCTTACCTCATATCCTGGGGTGTAAGAAGAATGAACTGCCTTTCTTGTTGTTCTTTAGCAACTTTTAGCATCATTTCCATGCTAATCCGTCTGTTTACCATGTCCTGAATGTCAGAAAATGAATACTATTTATTCAGGAAAAAACCTGCTTTTTATTACACTACATGTTTAATTGCAAGCAGCAAACTGATTGGCAGAAGTTTTCCAAACATCTACAGCATTTGACAACTATGACCACTTTGCTCCCTCTCCAAGATGGCCTTGATGGGGAAGTTTACTGAAGAGAATGACCTCAATTTATTTTACAAATCAAATACCCAAAATAAGTAGAAAGAACCATTTGCTTTGTAAATCACCCACCATGAAGACATCAAATTCATCTAGACATCGAAAAGGCGACTCCATTGCTTCCCATAGGGCCATGATAAATGAAACTGTGGAAAATGATCGCTCTCCTCCAGATAATGAACGGGTATCTTTGGCAACCCGTTTGGTGCCCTGTTCAACATTTACCTATAAAAATTGGGAAAATGTTTAGTATTCTGAAGCCTAATGTTGAACAAATTCTTTTTCTCAACCCATTTTTTTATCATGAAGCTTGTAAAAGTGGCTGATTTGATCACGGTATCATCATCTGGTTGAGTGGAGAGCTGTTGTAAGGGGCATTGACATCATGGCAGCCTAATGCAGAGTTGCTTTGTAGTAAAATGTTATAGCAGTTTACAATTGTGTTGAAAACCCCAAATTGATTAAAGTAATATTGACGACCAATTAGAACAAAGGTTTATATTATCATTAGCTAATGAGAACTCAAAGTGAAAACGGGCAAGGTGCTTGAAGTGTGAGAAAATGTGAACGTGATTCTTTTTAGTTTTGCATCTGATTGGTGGAGAGGATGGTGTGAGTTTTCTGGACCAATCACAGAGCAAAGTTTAGTAAAAAACCAAAGCAGATTACTGTTGACAATCAACTGAAAATTATTCAAAATATGTGTGGGCCAAAAGTTGTTAGGCCACTTTTGCAATGATGTTGTGATTGACTCTATCAGTCCCACACAAATCATGCTCACACATTCAAACAGTGTTTTTATTTGTAGGTTGACTTCCTTGTTTCAGTTTGTTCTCTTGTCTCACATGACAATTAGCCCATCAATTCCCATACATGCAAGGCTCTTACAGCAAGGCATGAAGTGGAGCCTTCATATAAAAAACCTTGTTATACAAGTTCAATAAAAAAGGTGAAGAAAATTAGAAATCATAAAAATTAACCAACCTGAAGGCTTAGCGATTCACTTCCGTGATCAAAAGCCATCTTACCACTGTAACCTCTCTGAGAGAGCATCATTGTGAAGAAGAACTTGGCACGAATAGCAATGAAATGTCTGTAATTTATGAATGCTTTAGCTCTCTGCTCCATGACTGCCTTCAAGCGCTACAAGTATGGAGAAAAAGTGATATGATCAAAATATCAAAGTATTGCCATATAACTACTTTTCCTTACTAATTAGCTACACCGATATTGCTAACATTAATTTAAATGACTCCATTTGACAAATAGATTCTGTTGAGTAACAGATCACAGAGGATGTCAAAATGTAGTAAGAGCATCAGTGACACACCAGGTGCATCACTGATTTTCTTAGCACATTTTGATGTCTTCTGTTGATCTATTACTGAACAGACATGGAATCTATTTGATTTTGTTGTTTATATTTTTTTCTTTAAAAAGCAAAAAATTGTTGACAATAACACCAGCTATGCATTGTCCTCCAACAGATCATAAGAACCAATCAAAGTATGTGCATAATTCAGCTTATCATATAGAGTACAGATTACTCCCTACAAATCCAAATATAGCCAACTGTGAAGTGATAATTTATTTCATATTTCTTTACAGATTTGTCACAAAATTTGCTGTTAGATCAAACAAACAATTTCTATGTGATAAGTATAAGTATTCTCACTGCATGCTTGCTATATAATGTATGGATAATATGGGGAGAAGTTACATGTCAATCACTTCTGGAATTAACTATTCCTGCAGAGGAAAACTGTACAATTCAGAGGGGGAAACTCACCCTGTTGTATCTTTTTAGGTTCTTCAATGACTCCATAATACCTTCATACCGTTTCTTTGCTTCAAAGTAATCTCTTGTTATATCCTCATGTCTGCCCTTGCTGGGAGAGGGTGAAGGAAAAGAAGACAAAAAAAAATCATGAACAACCCTCACATGAGAGTAAGGAGAAGGAAGCAGGGGGCCCATTCAACTGCAGTTTATTCAGGGATTTTTATAACTATCAGCTGACAATGGTGTAATAGCTGGCTGTATCTAAAATGGGGGGACTAAGGCATAACCCAAACACAAAAGATTCAGGCTCAACAGACAGTGGTAAGAGGTCTTATAGATGGTGATAGACTGCTGGTAACTGGCTGTTACTGAAACCATGACAGCGTGTAACAGCTAGGAGAATTGTCACTACCACCCCCCCTCTCCCATGAATGGTATGCCAGTCCACTTAGCATTTGATAGAACTTATATTGATATGATAGAATAGTATTAAAGTTTGCTGATACTTATTTAAATCTCTATATTGCTCTGAAAAAAAGTTACAAGCAACTATTGAGTTCATTTGCATCAAAAATACGGAGAAAAAAATATTTTGCCCTTCATGACACAAGTTTTAAAAAGTGTGCATACTTTCGTTCTTCTGTCTGTATCCGTTTGGTTTTTTGAATGATCTCTGTTTCAAGACTTTTCACTGATCTTTTTGTTGTAACCCGTTCACAAAACTCGCTGGCTTGTTGAGTCTTCACCTGAATAACAACAAACAACAGTTTTAAAGACAGAAAAATGCACTCTTTTACAATGCATCAGTAGAGCTAGGGGGTCATTACATGCTTGGTATAAAACAAACATCAAATCTTGTCACTCTGGTGCCAAAGAAATCAATAGTTATAGAACATGACAAAAGAATATCCCCAAGAGCTACCCACAATAAGATTTGTAAGATTACCTGTATCAAGATGTCCTCAAATAGCTGCATGCACAAGTAACAGTTATGAATTGACAAAAAAAAGGCTAATCCGGGTCTTTTTTGCATGAATCAAGTATGAGAGTTGCTATTTGTTACAGAAGGGATGCTCATTCATGCTAGACACTTAACCCTAACCCTAATCTTAAGCAACCGTTTTGCCTACAAATCGTTTTTCTAATAACCAGTTCGCTAATGTCTTACAGCCTAGGTCATTTCCCCAATGTCTCATGGTAGTTTGCTAATGTCCCATAGGTTGTTTCACTAACAAAACTAAAAGAAGACATTAGGGAAACAAGTTAAGAGATGTTAGGGCAGTGACCTAAGACATTGGCAAACTGGTCAATATCAAATAAATGCAATTCCTCCCAGGTGTAGGAAAGCATTGTGAAAATAAGCTGTCTTGTCCAAAATCAAAAGACAATAGCCCTGACAGTGCTTGAAGCTGATCTCTTTGGAGCTGCCACATCACAGCACAGTCTTCCTTAGGTAACAGACAGAGGTTATATAAATTACAGCCACTGATAAAAAAAAAGGAGTTCATGTACCCAACATGACCCAACTCAGGAATATGAAGCCTTATTAATGATATCCTTACCCTGACAAGTTTTTTCATGTTTTCATGTTCCCTCTCTGCTTTTCTGATGGTATCCTGTAGTTCCTTCACCTTCGTTTCAAAGTGTTTCTTGTGGCTCTTCTTTGTCTCGATCTCCACTTCAATACTATTTTGTTGAGTCTTAT